ATCTATCGATGATTTCTGTGTTGTTTACTAGGATTTCTCTGGCGATGGTTTGGTTGTGGGAAGAGATTATATGTTCCTTAATGGAGCCCTGTTGCTTATGCATCGTTAAACGCCTAGAAAGAGATGTTGTTGTCTTGCCTATATACTGGGTTTTTTGGAGCTTACAGTCCCCAAGAGGGCATTTGAAGGCATAGACGACGTTAGTCTCTTTTAAAGCGTTCTGTTTTGTGTCTGGAGAGTTTCTCATGAGTAGGCTGGCCGTTTTTCTGGTTTTATAGTAAATCGTCAGTTGTATCCTCTGATTTTTGTCTGTAGGGATAACGTTTCTATTAACAATATCTTTCAGGACCCTTTCCTCCGTTTTATGAGCTGTGGAAAAGAAGTTCCTGTAAAATAGTCTAATAGGGGGTATAGGTGTTGTGTTAGTTGTCTTCTTCTAGTTGTGCCAATTATTGCACAACTATATTCTACCCACCTCAAGACTCCGCTCCAATATAGAAGCATCAAGAAATATGGACCAATAGGCTTTCTACAAACACTTCTATTCAATATCCATTGTTTCGTGTTCTGTCTTGTGTTGATGAAATTAATACCCTATTAATGCCACATCTTGTTCTGTCTTGTGTTAATGCCACATCACCCCTTCCACCTCACTCAAATGTAGATATAAAATCGGAGATGCGTAAGTTCTATTCAGTTGTGTATTTGTGAACTAAAGTCTTTGAAAATGTAATAAGTTTTACAAAACGTGCTCGTGTCGCGTCAGACTAGAAATAAAAATGAATTTTGGAGAATTGATTTTTGATTTACCTCCAACAGTGAAAAGAAATGTACGAAAGATTGAGAAAATTCGTGTTAGAATTATTAATCTTACTTTTTCGGTCATATTTAATAATATATATATATATATATATATATATATATATATATATATATATATATATATATATATATATATATATATATATATATATACTCTGGGGTGTGAGTTTTTAGTTGCATATAGTCCTGGGGACCATTCAAGCTTGTTCGCATATATATATATATATATATATATATATATATATATGTCGTACCTAGTAGCCAGAACTCACTTCTCAGCCTACTATTCAAGGCCCGATTTGCCTAATAAGCCAAGTTTTCCTGAATTAATATATTTACTATAATTTTTTTCTTATGAAATGATAAAGCAACCCTTTTCTCTATGTATGAGGTCAATTTTTTTTTATTGGAGTTAAAATTAACGTAGATATATGACCGAACCTAACCAACCCTACCTAACCTAACCTAACCTATATTTATAGGTAAGGTTAGGTTAGGTAGCCAAAAAAGCTAGGTTAGGTTAGGTTAGGTAGGTTAGGTAGACGAAAAAACATTAATTCATGAAAACTTGGCTTATTAGGCAAATCGGGCCTTGAATAGTAGGCTGAGAAGTGCGTTCTGGCTATTAGGTACGACATATATATATATATATATATATATATATATATATATATATATATATATATATATATATATATATATATATATATATATATATATATATATATATATATATATATATATATATATATATATATATATATATATATATATATATATATATATATATATATATATATATATATATATATATATATATATATATATATATATATATATATATATATATATATATATATATATATATATATATATATATATATATATATATATATATATATATATATATATATATATATATATATATATATATATATATATATATATATATATATATATATATATATATATATATATATATATATATATATATATATATATATATATATATATATATATATATATATATATATATATATTGTGGATGTTCATAGCTCAGTGGTTAGAGCACGCAAACAATATTATGCTATGAAAATTAGTATTAAGTTATCTTTGAATGACAATCGACTTGAGAATGGTCCAGGACGGACCGAAACGTCGTCCCTTCACCTTCTAGTGTGTGGTCAACAAGTTGTCTTGAATGTTTGAGACTAGTGAAATGACACTGAATAACGTCATGTCATGTCACTTGTTTCATGTCAGCTCAAATGTTTATTATTAGCTGTGCATATAGTTGAGCCTAGTTCAGTAGTATGAACTATGTGATTCACCCCTCCCCTCCCTTGCACCATCTGACGCTGTTAAGTTAATAAGTAGCCAGCGCCACTTGACCCCCGCACCCATAATGCAACCTATCATCGAGCCCAAGTTATAACCCAATTCAATTTCTTCAATTTCTTTCTTTATTATGCACCCCATACCCATCCTGTGGGCGGTGGTGTAAAGGATTACAGAGGCACATAATCGGTTCAGGAACTGAACCCTCTAGTTCGTTTACCTAAGCAAATAACAATCTTTTGACGCTAGTTACACAATTATTAATGTTATATATACATGTACACATACTTATGCATACAGTGGCTACAATATTCATGAGTGTCGATCGTTTGACGTTGATTCGACGTTGAATTAACGTTAATTCTGTGTTGAATTGGCGTTGCTGTTTGAATACTGTGCCCACTAAAAAGTCAAATACTGACTTACGTAGAATTTAGTAAGTCTACATTTGATTTGCACAACAACCAACAGAGTAAATCTTTCACAAAATAAAGGGGAGAGGGAGACCGTTTTTTGGGGTGGACGGTAGAGCGGCGGTCTCGCTTCATGCAGGTCGGTGTTCAATCCCCCGTCGTCCACAAGTGGTTAGGCACCATTCCTTCCCCCCGTCCCATCCCAAATCCTTATCCTGACCCCTTCCATGTGCTATATTGTCGTAATGGCTTGGCGCTTTCCCCCTGATAGTTCCCTTCCCTTACGAACGTGTACACCTTTCCTCAATCTTTGACGGCTCTGGTGACATTTATTAAACAGTTTACAAGCATGAAAACTTGCCAATCACCTGTTGTTATTGTTATAAACAGCCTCCTGGTGCTTTCGGAGCTCATTAACTGTTTAATAATTGTAAACAAAGCCGCCAAAGATTGAGAAAAGATGGACAGGTTCGTAAGTGCTTGCGTAACTGCTTCGTGAATCTGGCCACAGGTTCGTAAGTGCTTGCGTAACCGCTTCGTGAATCTGACCTCAGGTTCATAAGTACTTGCGTAACTGCTTCGTGAATCTGGCCCCAGGTTTATAAGTGCTTGCGTAACTGCTTCGTGAATCTGACCCCAGGTTTACACACGACTAATAACATTTAAACATTTGTGGAACAAGAGCTTCACTGAAGACTTTTGTTCAAAGCCCAAAGATGCCCAAGTCGGACTAGCACAGCGGCACGTCCCAAAGGTCTGCCAATCCCGACGCTTCTCCAGATGTGTTTACATCTGCTGAGCCGCCATAATTGTACACACTAACCACCCACCTGGCCAGCGGTCTCTCTCCCAGTCGAGGACCAGCATCAGGAGAACAGTTGGAGGCTCCTCCTGCAGCGTTGCCGGCAGCGTCGTCCCTCCTCCAGCTGCTGGACGCCTCTGGTCGCGCCTCCGCTCCGTCCCACACCTGGGACCAGATTCACGAAGCAGTTACGCAAGCACTCACGAACCTGTACATCTTTTCTCAATCTTTGGCGGCTTTGTTTACAATTATTAAACAGTTAATGAGCTCCGAATCACCAGGAGGCTGTTTATAACAATAACAACAGTTGATTGGCAAGTTTTCATACTTGTAAACTGTTTAGTAAATGTAACCAAAGCCGTCAAAGATTGAGGAAAGATGTAAGGCTACGACTTCGTCTCAAATGACTTACTATTACTAATGTAATAGCTAGATAATAATAATAATAATATGATAATAATTTATTTAGGAAAAGTACATACATAGTTGCAGAGTTACAGTACAAACATTCTGTTTGATTTAAAGATAGAGGTAGTATATACAATACCTAAAGCCACTAGTACGCATAGCGTACTATTGGCTATAGACTATATATACTGTTAATTGTTGATCAACAGTATATTGTTGAAATTTGATTGTTACTGTGTTTTGGTGCCCATCGCTCTAGTTAGACTAATGTTGATAGATTACCTATAATCTTACTTTTGGCGCCTTATTTTGATAATTACTTACTATAATCTTACTTTCGGCGCCTTATTTTGATAATTACTTACTATAATCTTACTTTTGTTTCCAGAACTACATGGTTATGCAAAACTCAATTTACTTTACACCCCTTCATCATGCCAAACATAAACATATACAAATGTCTAATCTTTATTTATTTCTATATTTACCAGAAAAGACAATTGGTTGTGAAAGTCCCCATGTTGGCGATTAAAAAGTGACATTCTTGCACAACTAATATGCATAGTTATCAAAGAAAGACATGAAGGATCGGCAGTTTATATAACTGGGAACAAGTAGTCGTGTTTGCTATAGATGGCAAAATACTATAAGCAAGAGAACCTGTCAATTCCATGGGAAAAGCGAGCAATGCACAAGATGAGCAATTTCGTCACAAGTCGTACTGCTTATGCAGAATCCATATATCATGGGTTATCATATACTTTCAATCACAGTTGTGGGGAAGGGGTGCTAAGGCTCCATGAACAGTGTACGAGCCAACACACACCTTTTTTTATTTTTTAATGGGGAGGACTTTCTTGAGGCCCCAAGGCCTGGCCACCCAGTGTAACCATCTGCTAATTGGATATTATGATCTATACCGTGTCACAAGTCGTATTTTTTCTTTTTCTAGACAGCTTGTACCTCACTTCTCCCCCATGCATCATAACTATTGTGGGTACACACACACAAACATGCACGTGTTAGTCTTGTCCATCTGGAGGCAACATGAGGGATGCCACAGATTAATGGTACCATCTTGTAGGCAACATGTGAACTCGAATGTTGGTGTAACTTATGCTGTCTAGTAATGACTGCTGCTACCATGAACCTTTTTGATTCACACCATATAACTCAACATTTAACCGTTAAAACGCTGGGGGAAAATAAAAAAGGCATTTTTGTTTTTTTTAATACATTTACTTGCATTCCATACAAAATATTGTAATTTACCTTGCATCCATCCATCAATACAAATTACCTTTTAGTCAAGTGAGAAAAGTCAATAGTTTTAAAGTCAATCTCCAGTACAGCATTACACATAAGCTGAATTTAGTTCGTGAATATTATAATCCATTTTGGGGAGAAGCGATACACCTAATGCCATGGACTCTGTGGCAAAATATTTATTATTAACCTTCACATATATTTAAAACAATAAGCTAATACAGCAAAAACTTGGTTTACTCTTCTAATCATAAGCTATCTCATTGCTCTCATATTCTTATATTGGACCACGACAGCTCATCTTCGTTTGTACATTTTATGAGGAAGCCTTAGTTGAACATCAGTATGTCTGACAAGGTTTAAGGTGAAGCCGCTCACTAAAGTTTTCAAACTAACCATATCCTGGGATTAACTGACAGCAATAAACTAAAAGCAATATACAGTACTTCGAAACAATCCAAGTCTGTGTGCGCGTTCCAAACATTCTTATACCACCACAAAAATTCATAAAAGATCTAAGGATCTGCATTAACCAATAAGCTGCTAATGCTGAGTTTTTGCTACTGTTAGTGTTATTGAATTGTAAATTTCTTTACAGGATGTAACTATTTCACATAAGTGGTTCAGGGTATATGCATGCTTAAGTTCTAAGATTACAGCTGACTAAATTTAGCAAACATATATTATAGTTTAGTCCTAAACACTCTAAATGGCTGGAAGTTCAGAAAATAATTGTACAGAAAGTACCTGGTTGTTAAAATCTGGCATTAGCCACCTGAGTCACCAAGAGTATTCACCATATGTAAGATGCAGTCAACACAACTGAAGGGAAAACGGTAACAAAAATTTGATTACAATTAAAGAAAAGCATTTAAATTGTATTTTCATAATATTTACCAATACATAATTGTTTTGATTTTAAGCGCGTGTAATGAAAATACTACATGTACACATGCAGTACTGTATATTATCTAGCAAAGTGTATTATAGTTACATTGTCAAAAAAGTATTTCACATTCTTTCTACCCTAAAATAAAACTTGAAAAAAAAGTGTAAACCTTGTACAGTATAAATAATGCTGGGGATGTATTCTGAAGGATAAAAATTAAACTGAAAAAGCTTTGCAAACCCACTATAACACAAATGTTTAATCTATGCAAAAATAACATCTATAAAAACACAGAAAACAATTGAAACATTACATGAACACCATTTGAAACGCTTTAATCTGCAATAAATTTTCAAGGTACAAAAAATATCTAAAATTAGCTTTAAGGCCTCAATAATATACAGAGGATAGCAAAATAATTTACTAAAAGCTTATAAGACCTCCCACATTCACAAATATCCTAGAGAAATCTATAATCCATAACCTCATTACAAAAACCTATGTTTTGAATCTAAGAAATGTGTAAGTGATCTTTACACACAAAATACCACCACCATCAGATCAAATGTGACAACATTTAACATATCAACACAATCTAACCAATGCAATGCACATCATTCTGACCTTACTCTTTGTATTATTAAATAACTGTCTTAACTTTGTTACAAGACACTCAGTTACTATGCCTTATAGTCTGTTACATTATACAAACACACTTTGCTTGAACTATATTTTTCTGCACATAAGTGAATTTTCCATTCCTGTTACCACTATGCTTTAAGCTCAATTTCAGCTCTCTTCAGTAAATGGGTACTGACTGGGTAACAGTTCAGTGGATAAACAACCATATTAGTTTATCTTGACTAAATGTATACCCCTAGATGTACACTCCAAAATGTGTATATATGATCAAGAATGTGTGCACATGCACTCGCATAATGGGCAGTTTAAGGTCTCATGAGAATTTCTAAAAATTATTATAATTAATAATAATTTAGAACAAGCTGATAACCATATACAATACTGTACTTGACAACCATCTTATGAAGGAACGCTGATGCACATACTGGAATATTGCAAATGAGAGTGGTTGTAACAGAATCAGATGGGGAAAGCCTTAATGATGAGGAACATCTGCTATGCAATGAAAAAAAAAAAAAAAGTGGGAAAGGGGGAGAAAAGGGGGGGGGGGGGGCGGTACACCAACTACCAAGACTGTCATTCAGACATGTCAGGCAGAGGAAGTGTGTCATTAGTGAAGCAGACAATGAACCCCTGACTTAAGACTACTCAGTGAGGGAGGGCACAAGCAGTCACAGATTACGAGAAACATATGCAATCCAAGTTTTAAGTCCAAAACACCCACGAGAGCAGTGTCAGCACGGTTGAAAACTTATTTAACAGGTAAAGTACACAGTCCAAAAATAGCCTCTCCCCATCAAAGGCCTTGTAAGGAAGAATAAGTCTCATGCCCTGCCAAGAAATGAGGTGATTCTAGAAGTGTTACTTCATAGTGGAGGAAACCTGCAACCCCTTCAGAGTATCTCTAGTGGGGCATAGGGAAATGCAAGCCATTCCCAGGAAAAGCAACTCTGACCATGGTTGCACTGAAATGGAGTGTCATGGCACATAATGAAAATTGCATTAGCACAATCAAAGCATAAAGGAAAATAGTTAAAGCAACGACCGAAATGTGTTCCAGGAAAAATCAACATCACCTAGCTGAAAATGAGCGCTGGGAAAAAGGTTAAGGCAAAAATCATGTTTTCTGTAGTTGAGTCAGCAGAGACTACAGGTGCTGAACCCAGGTAGAGTAGTGAGTAGCAGGCTGGCTGAAACCTTAGGTGACCTAGGTTGCTATCTGGTGGTTGTCATACATATCACACTTTTGGCATTTACCGTGTAGAAATAAAAATTTGCCTTTTCACCAAGGAGTGCCAAATTTCCTCCAATCATTTGCTCATTTTGTTGTGTCTATGCTTTGTGGTGGGTTTTCCCTAGTACCAATGATTACTAATCTGCTCTCCTCAAAGTGTGAGCCCAATTCTGATCCTGACTCACGGTTGATAACGGATGGGTCTTGAGAAGCTCGGGAGCCACCGAGGTTCCTCCTAGAAGTCACAATTTATGTACTGTATATTATTACTGAGGAAGGACAGAAGGATACCCAGGTGAGCCGGTCGGACAGCACGCTGGACTTGTGATCCTGTGTTCCTGGGTTCGATCCCAGGCACCGGCGAGAAACATTGGGCAGTTTCTTTCACCCTATGCCCGTTACCTAGCAGTAAAATAGGTACCTGGGTGTTAGTCAGCTGTCACGAGCTGCTTCCTGAGGGTGGAGGCCTGGTCGAGGACCGGGCCGCGGAGACACTAAAAAGCCCCGAAATCATCTCAAGATAACCTCAAGATAAGGTGCACTGGTGTCTTTTTTCCCCTCTCCTGCCAATATTTCCCCTCTCATACTGCTTCTACCTTCTCCTTCCCTGTCTCAGAAAATGTAATATTGTATTGAATTCATCTTCTAAAGTTTTTTGAAGCTGAGAGTTCTTTTGAGTGAAGAACTCGTGTCTCAGCCAGCCACCTTTCACCGATTACATATGGGGAGGGTTACTACTGGACCCAACCCAGTCTTTAATAAGATCGACCACGACCAGCCTATGACTGTCCAGTACCCCAGACTATCTATTAAATATATTCTACTCTATATCATCATGGTAGTAACAGTAGTGCTAAAATTAAATAATATATTTCAACACCTAAGCACTATTGAAGAAGAAAAACTATACTTGGCATCCAACCACATGAATATGTAAGTTTTCAAATAATTTGGGATGCATTCTAGCACTGTGAAAAGTTAGTTTGTCCAGCATATGTATATAATCCAACCATCCACCCAAATTATATAAAAGAATAAATTTCTAATCAAAATCAAACGTGAAGCCACATGCTTGTGGATAAGGCTTGCTGCCCATACACACAGGTGGAAATTCATACAATCAAGACCCATCATCTCAAAACATTTGCTCTGTATTATGAAAATTATGATTTATTAATTAAGAAGCACAAATTTTGGTGCCTGGAGTGCACTTCAGCCTCAAAAGTACATGAATAAAATCTATACATTTTACTCTTCACAAGAGAGAAATCTTTGTGAACATGATCTGGCAGTAAAATTATATTTTCTAGCAAGAATATTGTGTATTTAATGAAATGGAAGAATATCCACATTAATCAACTGCACACAAATCAATAGTGTATTTACACTGTACACCAATGGTAAGTCTCAACATGCTACCAGTTTCCATTACAATTTGTACATATTTATGCAAAAATATATCATGCAATTTTATATACAATGTTGCAATTCATAATTACATAAAATACAAAGCTCAGCTAAGATTTTAACTAAGTACCAAGTCAAACAGTGCAATATGTTACTACCTCTCAACCACATACAGCCATGGCTGACATTCATAGAAATATAAAGTGTTTAGTTCTTTCTTAGTACTAATATTACCTCCTGGTAGGTGAAGAAGTTTGATTATTGTTATACCACGATAAGGATCCCAGACGAGCCAAAACAGTCACTTTCATTTCTTTCCGCCTGTATAGCTTGGGTTACTTACACCACATATAAAAGGCTTTAGTTACTCTACTGCCATATATAAAATCTACAGCACAATCTGATTAATTCAACCAACTTGTTAGGAAATCTGTTCACAGCAATCAAAAATTTGTAACGAAGGTTATTTTATTTAAAAGGACTTGGACAAGAGATCAAGCACTGGTCTAAATGTTATTACAATAACCGGAACTAACTAAATGGAACACACCTTGGGCCAAATTTAGAAAATGGCAATGAAACTACGAATTGTTAAAAACTCTGAAGCAACATTAAGAAGTTGATTAAGCGTTACTTTTAGCAGTTTGCCTACTGGGAAGCTTGCCCCCATTTCAATTTAAGTGGTGAAACAAAATGCGGTGAAGTAGTTTGGGATTTATCAAAAAAATTTGCTATCAGAGCCAAAAATGGCAATATTTATTATCAAAGAATGTCCATGTAAACAGTTTAATAGGATTTATACCAGAGGAAAAATTGCTGGTCATATGACAATTATTTTTGTTCAGTATTAAATTTAAAAAAATAATTATACATAATATTCATGGATACCCATTACATGTAAATACTAGTCATGGTTCCAAAAACCGATTATATGTACGGCAGTATTAATTTTTTTCCATTAAGGGCATTATAAATCGGTGGGACAAGAAAAATTATGAAAAAATGCTGAGCACAGATGACAATAAACAATAGAGGCAGAAGACAAATGCTGTACTGTACTATGCATTAACAATAAAATTCCAGAGCATTTATTTGAATGTACTTTCTTCTAGCTGTGCTTTGAGGATTGAGATTTAGCTCTTGGATCTAATCTCCCTTAATCTTTAACGAATTGGTTAACTATTTCTCAAATATTTAGGAGTTCTGTCATGCTCATTTTAGAATCTAAATATAGTCTGCCTCCACCACATAACTTTTACAGGAGGGGTAGAAATAGCACAAGTTACTCGAATCCTTTGGGATGTATTTTATCTCGATAAACTTACTCTAACTTCCATTAATTCATTACTAATGCCAATGAACTTTTATATTATTGTGGTTAATTTGAGTACATCACTAGTGTTACGAATTGGCTGTGCAATTCTGTATAATGTGGAGCACGACTGGCATGAGGTGGTCTCCATTTCTAGGCTGACACCCACTTGACATTTTCCACTCGACAGGTCGATACATGTGAGATCATGTGAACTGGTCACAAGAAGGCTCTGGCACAAATTTGGCTACTAGCTCATCCTGGTCCTTGTATGACTTACTTAGATTTAAATAAAAATCATTCATAAAAAAATATATAGGGGGCAGGCTTCAAATGAGCCGAGGTAGGATAACAGCTCTTGCTTGCAGTTTCACTAGGTATAGTACTTCAATTAACAGCCCTAATGAACCCTAGTCAAAGAAAAAAAACAAAAACAGAGGGAGGGAGAGGTAGGTAGGTACATAATTATCAGTAGGTAATTATCATGGCACTAAGCCATGATGACTATACAGCACTTGAAAGGGATACGAGCTCAAGGCTCTGGGATAAGACGGAGAGACGGAATGGTGCTCAACCACCACTTGGATGGTAAGGGATTGAACACAGACCTGCAAGGGAGGGAGGGAGACCATCGTTCTATCGTTAAGTTCAAGTGGTTGGTGGGGAGATAGCAGAAGATAAAAATGACACACACACACACACACAGTGCATGTGTGTAGGGGGAGGGAAGTGGTGTGCGCACGCGCACATACTTGGCAAGATGTGAAGTTGAACTTCAGCTTTGGGGGCCTACCTCTTGACATTGTTTATTGTGTGGTGGACATGCAAAATGGGTGGTTCGTATGCAATTAGATACACAAGAGATTACACAAGAACAAACAAATTTACGAAAGAATTAAAATACACAATCTGTCACTCATTCATGAAGTTAAAATATGAGCCATGAAGGCCTCGCCGATTCATGTAAAGGAAGATTACAATCATGCTGTACCTGAACCCTAAACATACATTGAAATCTAGGATATATAAGAGATTCACACCGAGTATCTCTAGACCCAAGCTCTAATCTTTCAAGCACTTAAGGTTCTAGTCCTTTTGACTATTATATTCCACTATGTGCACATGCACACAAAGTCTATGGTGGAGGCAAACTCCATTCACAGACTCAAATGTATATTTGATAGAGCCCAATAGGCTCCAGAATCTGTACACCATTTGATTGACAGTTGAGAGGCGGGACCAAAGAGCCAAGGCTCAACCCCCAAAAGCACAACTAGGCGAGTACAAACACACTTACACATTAAGAGAATGAGCATCAGAGCTGGGCATTTCTTTCAGTTCTCTCTCTCCTCCTCTTAAGTATAATGACAGATTTTATATATAAATTTCAAACATATACCATATCTGTCTTAGTCTACAATAAGCTAAGAGGCTGTGAGCATCATTTACCTTCATTTTACCATTTAAATTATCAGGTTGCAACGGGTTGAATAACAACCCGTTGCAATTACAAGGATATTGTGTGGCCACTTCCTGATAAGAGCTTCCAGGAAGTTGAAAGTCATTGGGGTTCTAAATAGGACTTTCCTATAAAGCTGCATGCTTAGACCTAAACATTTTAGGCATAACTGAAAAACCCCATCACCCACCTGATGGCAAAACTAGTGTGGAAATAGACCCCATGAACTGTTTGTAGTATTGTACCAAAACCTGGAAATGTGTCAAAAAGGCGACTTTACACGGTGATTCGAACTTTTTGTGGTCGGTGAGGTGCAACTGGCCATTTTATTACACAGTCAGTATTCCTTGCACTGTTACACTTCACTTCAAGTACAAACTAACACAGATAGTTTTGCACAAACATCCATGTTTTAGAGAACTAGCTTCTGCTCAAATCTGACTCAAGAGAATTGATTCAGTAACTGACAGGTACATTGTATGCAATTAAGAGATTAATAAAGGCACTGCTTACAACATGAAAACTTTTAAATGACACTTAAGTTGCACTTTTACATGCCACTAAACTTTGGTAGAAATTGCTTTGCCACAATTACCTTTATGATGTAGAGAAAATTTGCAATTACACAATTATGTCATTTGCTAAAGCAAATACTGGATAAGAATGATCTATGACTGGAGACTTAAACAGGTTTTTATTTGTTTTCTGTCATAAAATATAATTAATGTATTAAAAGTCAACACATACATGAAGCCAAAATATATCTTGCCGTTATCAGTAAACTACCACGTTTATTGTACAGTTGAGAAGCAAAATTTGGAAATGGGTTCAAGTAAATTTTAGCCAAACTTCAGCCAACTTCCCAATCAAATTAAGGCGTTTGCCATCAATTACCAAGACTTAAAAATATACTTTAGTTATGCTGTTAAATGGAGTACATTAAAATAAACCATGAAGGTTCTTTATTTCTGAAGCACATTAACTACACAAACGTAAAATGCTTCCTCAGACTAATATCGCAATCACTATTCAAATTGTTGACGAATCCAAGGTCTTGTGAAAGAATGTCTGCAGCCCATCCACACACAATCCTACAAACATTGCCAACAAAAGGATGATGATACACCTCATGGAAATGATGGAACCCCTTGGGACTAAATCATAACTCTTTGAATAGCTGCATTTTGAATGTGTTGCATCAATGATTAAAACCAGTGCACATTACATACTGGCGACACATTTGTAAAATCACAATAACATTCATTACAAGGGCCGAGTTTGATTAAAAAAATTTATAAAAAGGTACTATTGCACTCTAATCAATGAATTTAAAAAAAAGTGTTATATTGTGTTTCTTGTAAAGACTAATATGAGCTCTTAGTATATTAAAAAGAATTTGTCAAAGGATGTATTGAATTTATTTTAACTTTTTTTGCGTGCCTCTTACACTGCCAATTCCAATTACACTATGCCAATCTTTCCCATTTGATAACTATTTTTAGTCAGGAGCCCCTCAATGTAGTACTTTTAAAATAGCTGTAAAGTTCAACGGTTAATAAGTATTTATGAGCAATTTCATCGACTTAGCCACAATTATCACACCAAAAACAAGGAGACATCTCAAAAATGTATTTATCAAAAAAGATCGTCGGTAGTGTTATATAGCACTGACTTATGGAACATTCAAGAGTTCCTAGATATCATTCATGAAACCAATAAGAGTAAAAAATAAGCACTGCAATTTGATCAGTCTAATTAGTCAGATAAGAAAAAAAAAATTTATACTGGACTTTATTATCAATAAAACCAATGCAGTCTTCATAAAGGCAAAAGGCTTAAAGTTTCCACAGGTCTACATCGGTTCTTTCCATTTCGATAATTTACAGGGATACCATAGAAAACTACCAACATGGGAAGAGACTATATGGTGATCTTACATAGTCCCATCCCATTTTCCATGTGATGGCAATCTCATCAATGTTCATGTGAATCATGGCATTTAAACAGGGACACCATTATGTATATTACATCTGCCAGACTCGACTCAATTACTGTAATTTAGATTTAAAGATGCAATAAACATATACCACAGAATCATCAAATAAAAACTTAAGAAACTTTTAAAACTTGTTATACATATTTATTTGTATAAAACATTTGAACCCTAGTCCAAGTTAAGAAAAAGTATTCTAACATTTGACAATTTTAAAATATTTTAAAAATGTCAAAATACTGAAGGTAACTTCAAAGAATTGGTATCAGTAATATAATCTTAAAAGAGGGCAAAGTGAACTAAAACTTCTTAGTATGATCCGGGGGACACAAAACGAAGGGAGTGCATTGTGCACTTCTTGAGAAATCCTATCCTGAGTACAATGTGAAGAGGGCGTATCACTGCCACAATGGTGAGCCAAGACTAGCAACAGCTTCTCATGACAAAGCTACAGCTTTTGCTAGAATATAAAGCCAAAATTCTCATCCCCAGCAAATGTGCTTCACGGTACATCTAAATTTTCAGTAAAGAATTACAAACTGCACCATCAGCAATAATATACCACTTCTAATGGGACTATTAATATTCCTGGTAATGAAAGGTTTACTGGAGTCTATACCACAGTCTTCTAATAATTTTGACAAGTTATTGTTATTGCATTACAGTAATATTATACCCAAAAATTTCAAAATTCTGGACACACTTATCAAGTCAATAATTCCACTCTACGACATTTAAAGCCTGACTGCCATGAAGTAATTATGTTACTAACATACAAATAATATTGCTTTACAGCAATATCATGCAATATACATTTAATTCTCCACTTTCTACTTTTGTAATAAATATCTTGGGATGCAAATATGCAATGTGAATTAATCAAAGCATACCTCTTGAATACTGATTCCATTTATCACTTCCATTAAAATGTTTTTCCGTCTTTAAAAACAAGAAATAAAATCCTTTACACTTGCCATTTAGAACACTAATCCAAGTACAGTAGTTTATTCATCATTCATACCAAACTTCGTGCCTGCGTATAGGCAATAAATCACGAAAACATTCACACGACTCACCAAGGCCTGTAGGCAAATGAAACATCACAGCCGGGTTTTCTATAGCACTGAAAGACCTATTTTTCCTCCGGTCTTAACTGAAGTACAGTTGCCTTCATTTTAGTTGCCACCTTTATGTACCTGTGAACACCGACGACATACTTGTGGCCAACAAATATTAACCTACTTTATGAGATCATATGTTGAACCCAAAACACATCTGCTCACTTCTTTTTCTTAATCTCATTCCCATTCTCAGTAAGGCATTCAATAAGAGTGACAACTTCTACAACTGTCACACTAAGAAAGCAATCTCAAAAGTAAACTGAGAAAATTATTAGGAAACTCACATGTCATTCAAGATCACCAATAAAGACTACTTGTTCCATATGTATGTATATTATGCAAGTTTATTATTATTATTTTATTATATATATATATATATATATATATATATATATATATATATATATATATATATATATATATATATATATATATATATTATTATATATATTTATTTATTTATTTATTTGATATAAATGGGTTGATGGAACTGGTGCAGACAACTCGGTAATCCAATGGACTGGTAGCCGATGAAAGCCGATGCAGTATATACTGTACTTGGATAGCAGATCAACCTAAAGGCTGTCGAGGCGCCCCCCGTGCATGCCCCAACTGAACGAGCCTCTCATTCAGCTGCACAAACTGAAAAGTAAAGCGTCTATTAAAATTCCATATTTAAGCATTTTAACTCGATAGGTTATTTACAGCTAGACTACAATCCTCTTCATTTCTCTCTCTCTCTCTCTCTTTTCCAATTTATATTTCTCATAACCATTTTCTTTAATTTTATTTCTAAACTATTTAAATTGAATGCAAGCTGCCGAGAAAAATATTCCCAGACTAGCGTATCTAGTATGAACAAAACCATATAATGGTGTTCCTGTTATAGTGGTGGTGGGTATTGCGGTAATGCTGGTGGTAGAAATGCCGAGGGTAATTTAGGTGCTTGCTTAACAGTGCTTACCTAACAGTAATTACAAGGAAATGAGGTCTAGCTCTAAGCCCAACCTACTAGCCTTGTACTTGTTGCGTTATAATTTAACTTAGAGACAGACATTCAAATATGTTATTAAAATCTGGCCTTAAAGTTGTTGATGGTGATGGCTTTCACAACGTCATTCAGGGGATTCGACTCAATGACCACCTGTAAAGGGTAGGAATATTCCCTTGTCTTTTTTGGACTCTTGCATTTCCAGCTTCCACCTGTACCATCCTACTTTTCTAAATTTAAGAGGCTGTCCTTGTCCACCACTACCCTCGGTAACTTACACGGTAATCACATCCATTCTGCTGCTTCTCTCCTTTAGTGTTGCGAGATATAGTTCCCATAATCTATCCTCATAATGGCGTTAGTGGTGGTATGGGTGGTGGAATGGGAGAGAGGGAGGGGTAGATCAACTTAAGAGGTATTAATGGTGCTATGGGATGCAAGACTTCCCTATTCTTTACCTAGACCTAATACATCATAATAGTCTGGGCAAAAATTAAACTTAATATGGTTAACTATACAACACTAAGAAAAAACTGAAATTGTTCAAGTCATTCTGAAATTTAGATTTGTATCGGAGAATAACATTTGTATTCGCTGTAATTTAAGAACAAGGAAATCTTTAAAATTATTAGTATTATATGGATAATGAAAAAATTTCAATGTTTAAATATTGTTGAATATGAAAATAAAATCTTGTAACCATTTTTTGACACGTCAGTTCACCCAGGTGATTTCCGGCACAATCTTTGAGTTTGATGAAATTTGGTACATGTATAGATCTCGCCAAGAGAAATTGAATGACTTCTCACATCTGTAGCTAAAACGGGTATCGAGATACGCTACCTTGAATTTTGGCAAACAGGTATATTTTCTTAGATCATGCCTTCTTTCAAGAGGACATATATCAGCTCCCATGAGACACTGAACTACAGGCCAGTGTCCCTGCCATGCAAGGTTATGGAAAAGATTGTGCAAAAACAACTAGTAGAACATCTGGAGTGAAAGAACTTTGTAACATCAGCAGCATGGATTCAGGGAGGGCAAAACTTGCCTCATAGGATTAATTGAATTCTATGACCAGATGACAAAAATTGAGTAAAAAAGAGAGAAGGGTGGGGTAGACTGCATATTTTTGGATTGACAAAGCCTTTGACACAGTACCCCCCCATAGGAGACTAGTGAGTGAGATGCAGCTGGAGCTGCAGGAAGGCGTAAAAAGGAAGGTACACCATTAGATAAGGGAGTACCTAAGCAACTGAAGACAGTCACTGAGGGGGTGAGGTTTCAGACTGGTGAGGCATAACCAATGGAGTCCCACAGGATTCAGTCCATGAACCTTTCCTGTTTCTGATATATGTAAAAGATCTCCCAGAGGGAATAGACTCGTTCCTCTCAATGTTTGTTGATGATGCAAAAATTACAAGCAAGATTAAGACTGAGGAAGATGGCAAGAGGCTACATGATGACCTAGATGAACTGAAGGAATGGTCCAAAAAATGGCAACTAAAATTCAATCCAAGTAAGTGCAAGATAATGAAATTAGGTGGAGGGAACAGTAGGTCAAACACAGGATACCAAATGGGAGATGAAGTCCTCTGCAAAAACAAAGATCTGTCCATTTCATGCTGCTGAAACTGACAAAAGTTGATATCACGTCGAACCTGTCTCCTGAAGTACATGTCAAGAGAATATCATCAGCAGCGTATGCATGGCTAGCTACCATCAGAACTGCCTTTAAAAACTTGTGTACCACATATGTAAGACCAACCTTGGAGTATGGCAGCCCTGACATGTCAAGTTGTGTTTTGCAAACAAAAAAAAAAGTCCAATAGAGGCCAAAATTAAGAATGTTCAAATTCTGGAATATTTTAATGACCTGAACATAAATAAAGATCAAATACATTGGAATACACTTCATGCTGTAAACATTGTTACAGCACAGTCAAACATAGAAAAGTTGGAGAGCCACCCAATACCTTTAAAATGGTATTTGAATGAACTCTGTATGTGCCTTAGGAGCCGAGATATGTCCTCTTGAAATTCGGCACGACCTCTTTTGCAAAACGCAAGGTCGTGTATCTCCAGAACTATTTCAGCTACAGATGCGAGATAAATTTCATTCAATTTCTCTCACCGAGATATATAAATGTACCACACTGGATCAAAATTTAAATGGTTGCCAGAAAATTAACCCAAAATTTAGGCGAATTGACATTAAATGATTCGTATACAAAATCATGTAGGGATCTATTTCATCTATTGCACAACTTCTAAGAATATACAAATTTCATTTTCAACCAAGACTACTGGGAGTATTCCCTGGCATCCTAGCATGTGTGTTGATATTCTGGTGTAGCTAGGTTTGCAGGCGATGAGTCACAATAACGTGGCTGAAGTATGTTGACCAGACCACACACTAGAAGTTGAAGGGACGACGACGTTTCGGTCCGTCCTGGCCCATTCTCAAGTCGATTGACAATCGACTTGAGAATGGTCCAGGACGGACCGAAACGTCGTCGTCCCTTCAACTTCTAGTGTGTGGTCTGGTCAACATAAATCAACTTAGCTAGGTTTGTTTGTTTTCAAGACATTGTTCAAGGTTATCTTCCCATGAATATAAATACTGTACAGTAGCTCCAAAATATGTCACCAGAGACTTCGGTGCCTAATAAAAGGCACCTTCCTTGCACCATAACATATAATCTTTAAAGTTTCAAGCAAACACATGAAAGCATTCCACAGATATTGCACGTATTGTTCACCACAAACTTTGGAAAAAAAGTTGATTATTTTGACAAAATCAAGAGGTACCCCTACAGGGAACAGGCTACGTAAGCCAACAAGCTTGTTGAACAAACCTGATTTCGCTCTCGCCGATTAAGATTGACTAGAGGAACATCCTCTGCAGTCCAAGCAACCACTTCCGCAGAGAGATAGTCATTACTCACAAGTTCCTTCATCGCTGTCGTCGCGGTATCATCCCAAACATCACCTGTAGATCACACAATCAATTAATTTGCATCGACTTGCACCCAAGTCCCAAGATTACTTTTATTTATGAGTAACGCTACATTTTGACCACAGCCAATCAAAGGAGGTATACCTTGGCTATTATATCTAAAGACATGATAAAAAGTGCTGTAATGAGCATGGGCTATTGCAAGGGAATGAAATGGGTGGTGGTGATGTTTAGTGGCACTGATACAGTGTTTCCTTTTCGAGATGTTTAGTCATCTCAGAATATAAATATTTTTTTTAAATGACTAAACTTTTCTAAACATTTTATAATTGTTATAAAATCTGGGATCTTCGTTGCACCACCATGCATAAGTACAAACACTACATTCTGACCACAGCCAATTAGTCTTCACAAGTACAAAGTTTCAAAACATTCTAAGACATTCTTTCCAGATATGGCAAGGAAAAATAAAATGATAACTATTAGAGTAATAGCATTAAGTTGAATTTCTAATTTTAACAAAATTTAAATCTTTGAGATGAATTTTCCTCCATTCTCAGAAGAGAGATTCCTTGAAGTTACCTTGAAGTGTTTTCGGGGCCTAGCGTATCCCGCAGCCCGGTCGTCGACCAGGCCTCCTCGTTGCTGGACTGGTCAACCAAGCTGTTTGACATGGCTGCTTGCAGCCTGATGTATGAATTATAGCCTGGTTGATCAGGTAATATATTCAGAAATTCCCCAAACAGTTGGAAATACAAACCTCTTACTGGCTGTACCCCAGACAGGAAGCACTGAGTTGCCTGGAAGGGAAGCATCAGGTAGTCGAGGCGGATCTGTCTCAGCAATGACGTCTCCACGAATGTTGTGTCTCCTATATCAAGCAGCAAAATTTGAGACACATTCTCCGCTGTACTCAACACTTGGCATCTCATCCACTGTCCCGTAATTTGTACCACACACACAGTGCCATCTGCCAATGCAAAATTCCCTTGTTTACTACAGTACTATGAATTTATAAATACAATAAAAAATGCATTTTTTGTTATATAAATTTTATATAACTGTATTTATACCACAAATATATTTATACTGATTTATTCAGTGTCAGTGATTTGTTTTTAAGCTTTTTTTAGTTATACAATACAATAGTGTTTAATTTTAGAAATTTCTATAATAAAATGTGCAGAACATCAATGCTCACAATTATATTTGTGTCAATAATATGTGCACAATATGTAACTATCTACATGCTTATGCAGCAGTAGTGGGTGCGATAATCTGGTAATGAGTGATCCAAGCTCAGCCTAGCCCCACACACACTTGTCAGGTGTAGACATCACATGATGAAGTGCCACCTAATATACTATGAACACTGTAAAACAGCCAAAATACTTAAACTTAAATTATTGCAGTTATTTATTTCATCATCACAAGTGATGTGGGCACGAGCTGCTGTGAGCCGCTGTTGGATACACTACTGAACTAAAACAACAACTTTGAGTACTTTGCCTCTCACACCCAAGAGGAGTGCCCACATCTTTTTCTCCCAAGATGGTGTCTATTTACTGGAGGCCCGAGAAAGCAGATATGAACTATGTACCTACTGGTTTTGTACAGGGAGTTTTAAACCTTATCCTACACCTAAAAATGACCCATGTTGATATGCACACCAATAAAATGACCTTGGGTGACAGGTGCAGTTGATGGGTTTGAAGAAAAAAATCCATCCTGGCTCCAAACATGTTTCAGTATGTTGCATCAAGGACCAGAGTCGTAGGAATAAATAATGTTTGATGTATCTTCACATCAAAAAGTTTTCTACAATCATTAACCGATTTCCAACTTTCATGAGGTAGGCAAGAGCTAGGTCTTTAGTGGCAAGACGATGGGTTCCTGGCAAAGTCCCCTGCCCCTTCATCATACAAAATATGGACCTGTTTGCACATCAAGTGAACACCTTGCAGAACATTCCGAAATTACATAAGGTGTCACAAGACTACAGCTGTAAACAAACAAATCACAATGATGTATCAACGAGAAAATCAGTAGGATCCTTGAGGAGGATACGAACCTATGCACTGGGTACTCCCGAGCGCACACACCGTACTCTGGTACGGCAAAAATGAGGATCTGAAACATAATACTGGGTACAAAACACAATCAAATCTTCCCATAGTAGATAAACAGCATGTCAAGGATTTGGGAATGATGATGTCCGACGATCTAACATTTAGGGAGCATAACCAAGCAAATACTGCATCAGCCAGAAAAATGATCGGATGGATTACGAGAACTTTCAAATCCAGGGATCCCACAACAATGGTTGTACTCTTCAAGTCACTCGTGTTGTCCAGTCTCGAGTACTGCTCAGTACTCGCTTCCCCTTTCAGAGCAGGAGAGATTGCTGAAATAGAAGGAATACAGAGAACATATACGGCACGCATAGACGAGATAAAACACCTAAATTATTGGGATCGTCTCAAAGCTCTCCAAATGTACTCTAGAAAGGAGACGAGAGAGATACCAAATAATATACACATGGAAAATACTGGAGGGCCAGGTCCCAAATCTACACAGTAAAATAACAACATACTGGAGTGAACGATATGGAAGAAAATGCAAGATTGAACCAGTGAAGAGCAGAGGTGCCATAGGCACAATCAGAGAACACTGTATAAACATCAGAGGTCCGCGGTTGTTCAATGTCCTCCCAGCGACTATAAGAAATATTGCTGGAACAACCGTGGACGTCTTCAAGAGAAAACTGGACTGTTTTCCCAAGAGAAGTTCCGGATCAGCTGGGCTGTGGTGGGTATGTGGGCCTGCGGGCCGCTCCAAGCAACAGCTTGGTGGACCAAACTCTCACAAGTCGAGCCTGGCCTCAGGCCGGGCTTGGGGAGTAGAAGAACTCCCAGAACCCCATCAAGCAGGTATCTTAGACCACTACACCATGACATGGTCATATGAAGAGAAGCATTGGAGATGAACATCCAGAGTATAGGGTCAAATCCTCCTCATGGCTCCTGATTTTCTCAACCAGCTGTCTTTTCCCCGATTTACAAACTTCTCCCACTTATACAATACTGGTAATGTTAAGTAAACTCTCATTGAATCAAAAATATATACTTTTCAATTACATATTCTCATATAATATTTATTTATTTAGTGTTGAAGAAAGGTGGGCTTAAAATGGATTTATGCTTGCTAACATAAATGTGCTTCAGGGAAATTATAAAGATACTTCCCTACACTACTCTCATAGCAGGAAGGGGGTCCATTCCCGAGACTCCATTGTATTACATTATACTTGTTTGCTACGTAAAGAAGACAAGAATCTGATACTTAAGAGACTTCATCACCACTAACCGGCGAGAGGACTGGGAAGAGGTGGAGTATTCGATCCATCGCCATAGTTGTTGTTCATGCACACCTGAAGGCGCTCCATATGTGCGAAGGAGGGATGCAGCGGTTGCTGTACCCACAGCTCGCCGGCACTCACTACTGTAGCCACACGAATGTCTACCCAAACACCAGCAGGCAGATCCAACTATTGCACAAAAAGTATAATTTCATTACAACTGATAACTGTATACATATGAAGAAAGCATATTTATATGTCATTATATACAGGGTCATTTTAATACTAACTATTTTCCTTGAGACAATGATTCAATTAAGATGCAACCACATACACGATCTAATTTCTTAGATGTCATACCTTCTTCAGTAGGAAAATTAGGAGAATTGCATAAAATTTAAATAATTTAAATCCCTAACATTTACAAGCACTTCAACAATTTCCAAATTTTTAAGTCATTTAACTAAGTACATATTCATCAAAGCAGCATAGCACAGCTTTAGTGAAAAGAAATCACATACTAACACTTTAATGTTCTGATGCATTTCAGTGTGTAATTTACCAGAATGTTTCAATATTGCTAAAATTCATCAGATCTCAGAATTTAAAAATCCCTTCCTTAACTGTTCTACTTGTACATTTATGATGAATTTCTTTCAGTGAGGACAAAGCTTATCGGGGGACCAAAGTATCAAGTATTTACCTATCAATAAGTAACCAACTAAATATCACCTTGGCTAACCACCTTGTTATGTCTGGGTATGGCAGAAAACTCATGTCTCAGAAGCATGGTGCTTATTTACAAACAGACAATAACATCACCGGTATAGGTGCCATGTATATAAATAACCCTTACATTCCTTACAGACAAATGAGCATCGGCTCTTAATATTATGAACCTAACCTAGGTGGTACTTAATCCTGCAAAATACCTTCAATACTAACATTCTTCCCTTTTTAAATAAACTTAATCCACCTGCAGGTCAAGTCTATCAGGAAGTCATACGACTTCCTGATTTTCTCAACCGAGCTCCAGACCAGTTACTTCTGGGGAACCTTCTGAATTTCTGACTACTGAGGCCATAGATTTAAGTCTTATCCACATTCCCCTCTTGACCCTTGCTCTGCCTCCCTGCCACCTGCAGGTGTTACCCCTTTATTATTAGGTTGGGTATTCCTAGTTGCCACATTCACGCCCGATGGGACTTCAAAATTTTCAGTCAACCTTCTTATCTTGAGATGATTTCGGGGCTTTTTAGTGTCCCCGCGGCCTGGTCCTCGACCAGGCCTCCACCCCCCAGGAAGCAGCCCGTGACAGCTGACTAACACCCAGGTACCTATTTTACTGCTAGGTAACAGGGGCATAGCCTGAAAAACTCTGCCCATTGTTTCTCGCCTGCACCTGGGATTGAACCCAGGATCACAAGTCCAGCGTGCTGTCCGCTCGGCCGACCAGCTCCCTTTGCAAGGGTTGATCTGCAAGTCTTTTCCAATTAACACTTTCGTTGCCCTGGCAGGCAACCTGCTGTGCACCTCAGGGTAGCAAAATTTGGTATCAAATTGTTTGCAATAGAATGCTGTAAAGTTGATTGACAGTTGAGAGGCAGGTTGACAGAGCAGAGCTCAACCCCTGCAACAACTAGTGAATACAACTAGGTGAATACATAATGTTTGGCCTTGTGACTGCCCAGGAAGTCCACAACCACTGCAACAGTGCTGTTCCAAGGTGCTCTCTCTTTCCTAGTGAGCTTCTTGGGGAATTCCTTGCACTTGAACCACCAGTGGCTCCCACTTTATGCTGTTCCTCCCCACAGAGAGCTCGAGTCCACTGTCGCCAGTCCCTCTGTGGTAGTGCACCTTGAGCACCTGCTGCCCCAAAGGCCAAGTCAGCAGGATATTTGGTAAAAACTGCCTTGGAGATCCATCAGGAATGTCACCATTTTGAGGTTTCTGATGACCAAGCAGAAATCATTAAACGTCAAGACATCCAGCAGTCTCAAAAGAAAAGTTTGTGGAGAATAAGTCATTTTCTATAGTGTACTTCGGAAAACTGCTTATTTCCTAGTAAGCAATTAGGAATTAGCACTTCTACCCCTCAAAAAAATAAATTGGTTATACTATGCATTATCAATAAAAAATTATTTATACGCCAACATTCACTTGCTAATATTTTGACAACTTATTGTTATAACCCCCCAATTTTTTTTTACAAAACGTTAAAAAACGGGACAATGCCAATAAACATTTTAAGTGCTGCCGAGCAAGACCTCAAGAGTATGAGCACATTTACACTCAGGAATACGAGGTATGCCTAAGTAATACAAATTGTCTTTAAACTTGCTAACAAAATAAATAGACAGTGGATAGTTTTAATATTCTGTCTGTGATAAATATTTCCTGCTGCAATAAAGAGCCTCTATAAACACCACAAATTAAAATGCGGAGAAATCTTACATGCAATCTTACGTGCAAATCCTTGAGAACGAGATCTTCTTGGAGTCTTGATAAAGTTGGTCGTAGTTGGTGCACCTCTTCCAGTGTAACCTCAGAGTATCGCTCTAGGGGAAAGTATTCGCGAATCATATCTTTTGCCCTCATCACTGAATACTTTGTACCTAAAAATCAAAACCATTTGCAAATGAATTTTCTAAAAATAACAAATACTGTACAGTGTTATACATTGCCTAATCTATCACATCAGGTGGCATTTGAGGTATCTACGAATTGTGGATTATTAAATGCATTAAAAATTACATTAGAATGCAATAGAAGGCCTCTTTCTAGGTTCCCCTCAGTATCTCCTTTTTATGCACTGACCAAGAGAGGTTAGTTATGCTAGGAAGCCATGACAGAGTACAAACCAGAAATTAGTACCCATGCAAGTTCCCAAGGGGCAGGGAGTAACTGACATCATTATCTAGACGATAATGGGAGATCATCCCATTACTGAAGCAATTTGCAAATAAAAGCAATGAAAGATAATCACAAAACACTCCTCCCTCGGAAGCATCAAAACAAATTTGAAAACGTTTTATCAAGCACATGAGAATGTATGAAGTAAGGGAAATGAAGGGCAACTGCCTCACACGAGGCAGCAGTTATTTATATCCACTTAAACTCATTTATGCACACTGGATGTCTAACCTACACTTGAAACAATCAAGTAATCTCGTGTCCATGTTGCCCCGTAAACTGGTCCACAAACCTACAACCCCATTTCCAAACCAGTATTTACCTAGATCTTTTGTAAATCTAAACTTATCCAAATTATATCCACTGTTTTGCGAGCCACTTTGTGTTGATATATTTAATACCTTATTAATATATCCCTTACACAGAAATCACATTAACGTGATGTATCAAGGAGAAAATCCGTAGGAGCCATGAAGATGATTTGAATCAATGCTCTGGGTACTACCAAGCACATGCCTTAGAGAACCCCAGGCACCCCAGAGAATAGATGCATTGTTACCAGCATGTTAAGAATGTTCCCAGAAGGGAAACGTGGAACAAATGAGGCTGGAGTATAATGATACCTCCAGAGAAAATGAGCAGAATTTGACATTAAACCATTTCATCCTGATCTCGATAGAAACAACTACAAATTCTACCCAGATGAAGCCAAAAACCTGCAATAGCAGGATAAGAAGGCAAAAGAAGACAAAGAAGACTGAAAAGTAGAACCAACAAAGTAGAATGATGACACTATAAAAGAAGACAAAAGACACTACAAGAGTGAAGACTGAACCCTACACTATTGTGAGCCCCTACAGGACCACACCATCTCATCCAGCCTCTTGGTTGATGTTCAAACCTCATTACAAAAACATTGCCGCTGGGTCAAGCCCTGGCACTATCTACAAACTGTAGAATGCTTCCTCTCCAAGACTATTCTTCAGCTGTACCCACTTCCTGCTCACACCATGGGTATCTGGTCTTGTACATCATCATCATCATCTTCATATGGAAGGCTTTGAATTCCTGAGACTAACTTTGTCATCCTTTGCTGAATATGTTCAAGTGAATGCATGTCCTTTCCATAGTATGGCGACTCAAAATTTAACAGCATAAGCTAAATGGGGCACGAGAATAGCAAGTTACAGTATAGCTGAAGAGCAACATTGTGGTTTATTGCTAATCCTTCAAAAACAAATTTCACAATATACTGTTTGCCTTATTCCAAACAGTTATGCATTTATTTTATTGGCTTCAAATTGCTAATAATCATAACCCTTAGATCTTTTACACAATTTCAATACTGTTTACCTGATGTGTACTATCACCATTACCTAGCATCAGAATCTTAGCTTTGTCAGCATTAAATTGCATCTGCCAATCTTTCAATCATTTCAAAAGCCTATTTAGACCGTCTTGAAGTGTTTTAGTCTCTTTCTGAATTTATCTCTTGCCCAATTTTCATATAGTCAGCAAATTTGCAAATACTGTTGCTCAGTCCCGATTCTAAATCATTAATATTTATACAGTATATGTAAACAACAGATCCCAAGAGCCCTTGGACACACAACTTACAACACCTTTCCACTCAGAATCAACTCCATTTACACTGTTTCCTTGATATAACCATGCCCCCATAAAAACATATTTCCCCTCCACCACAGGTCTGAGTGAGGAGCCCAGCTCACTTTTGTACCTGGGCAAGTTGTGTACTGGTGAAGAACACATTGCTGTATTACCAACACAAGTGTTCCTTTCCTTTGAACAGCTCTGTCCATCATTGGGGCCTATATTCATATGGCTTCATGATGGCATTTACAGTGCTGTTCACGGTGTGTGGGTCTCGCTTTAGTTCAGGGTGCACCTCCCTGGTGCTATCACCAAAGACCCATCAATGTTATGTTCTCTGTGGGCTTCCTTTCCTTCTTTAAGCAGACACCTTTTGAGTCATCCTGGGAAGTGCTTTGGAACACATTATATTATAATTATTAATTGTCTGCTCACTTGGAAAGCAGATCTTCCAAATCATCCTACTTTTTCTTTTTTAACATTTACTAATTTTTTTTTACATCATTTTTGTAGTCCTCAAGTAGACTAACACAATGCCCTGTGTTTTTGCTTCTGCCTTGGCCCCCCTCAAATGTTTTAGATAAAATTAAAAACCTCTGATATAATAATTAACAAAGAAATGTACTTACCTTCTATAGAACATATTTTAAGCCCTTTATTTTTGTGCGGATACACAATGACGTTGCAATTCGTAATGGCTTTGATTCTATTTACGAAGGCACCTTTCCGGCCAATCAAACGTCCCACCAATGCCTGGAAGCAACATATGAACAAAAGTTTATGATTTGCATTTAAGTGCTAAGAAATATTATGACTTCCATCCTACAGTGCAAGAAGAGTAATGATGACTGTTCAAATCCAAATCTATTCTAGTTAATCTTCCAATGCAAATACAGAAAAAGATACAGATCCTCCATGAGCTATTCATTCAGCAAGTTTCAGCTTTATGGTGAAATATGATCAAATCTCATACTTGACAAGTGAAGCCAATTAGCCTTGCCACAAACTACATTAGATTTTCTCTCTTATACACAGTTTTAGCAGCTACTCTATTAAGGTCAAATGAGAGATCTATAAGTAAACGGCCTCAAATATTATGGATAAATTTGCTAAAAGAGAAAAATAACAGTATTAATATTAGTGATAAAAACTTAGCTGAATAGTTTGTGGTTCCCATTTGTAAGTGACTGAAAACAAAAAGAATAAATAGCTAAAAAACTAGATACTAGCTAATCACACAGTAATTTAATGATATATTCTCATCCCCTGTTTGTCTAAAGACGCACTTCATATGGACTACAGAGGCCAATCAAATAACAGATTCATCCCAAAAATTCTGTTTTAATGCAAAACTATAATGTCTGCTGTTAGTCACTACCTCTCACTCTCAAAACTTACCTGCAATTAAGAATTTCCACTTTGCAACTAGTCTCGTCTCTAATAAATTTATATTTTAGGCCTAATTACCACACCCAAATTTCAACAAATTTTATTTAGATAAGCATAAAATTAGGTATCTATAAAACTAGACCAAATATACATTTAAGTTTTATATGGGGTTAAATATTTCTAACAGTATGCCGCTAATCAATTTTAAGAAAAGTGACTCGAGAGCTAAGCTAGACGACTTGGACAAGCTGTAGATGTGAATTGGAAATGAGAAGGAAAATTCCTGCAATAACCAAAATTACCTTCAGCAAAATTCTGTCTTGCTTCCAGCAGTCCTAGTCTGTCCAACTTGTCCATCCCCCCCCCCACACACACCTATACATCATACAAGAGCCACAAATGTGTATTTTTGAAAACTACACATACACTAATTTCTGTCGATACCAAGTACAGTACTCGTATCTGAAATTTGTAAATTATAATACTGGGTACTGGTACCAGGACCAGGTAATGAATGAATTTACCTTACAAAGCTCTGCTTTATGGTAACAAAGATACAAGGCAAACCTGGATCCACCTGCATCTTTTAAGATCCTCAAGAAAGTGAACCAAGAATCAAATACAGTACGGTATTGCCCGTTACCGAGGCCACGTATAATTTGTCTTACATGGCCTATGTACTACTTACTATGCTAGTATCATACAAAATATTTTACAAACTTGTGGTTCATGTCTGAGATCTTCTAACAAGCATGAATAAATTCTGTGATCAAATTATATTCCAAAATTGGCTTCAAATTTGTAAAACAAGATGCAGACAACTTACCTGAGGAATCTCAAACTCATAAAACTTGTATGAAGCTTCAGGATTATTGAATGGATATGCCGGATGGTTAAAAAATATGTGTTGCTCGAGCTCGATATGGTTACGAGGCTCCTGCAATTGGATAAAAAGAAAAAGCAATATTAATACATTTTACAAAAGTACTGTACATTTTTTCTATTATATTTTTTTTATATTTTTCATATTTGATAGTTAATATTTCAACAACAAATTTCAATGAATACCAAGTACTATGCAAGTATTATATTCATAACATTTGAAAACTGAAATAAGAAATTCTGCAGAATTAGTCTTGTCTGCCATATACAGATTTTATTTGGTTCAACACATTTTAAGTAGTCCTAACCAAATGAGAACAATTAAATTTCGTATATGCAGTAGTTTTTTATACTGTATAATATTGTGAAGCAAGGTAACAATATATAATCTTTATGACAGCAACAAATCAGCCTGCTGGGATCAATTACACACTTCCGTAAATAGGAATACTGTATAACAAACTGGTACAAAAAGTTTACCAAACATTTAGTACATAATTTAGTCAAACTTACTGCAGGGAGAAGTCAAAATAAACAAGAGGGGGGCCAAGAAAAGAGCAAATAAATAAGACAGGCCAAGTGGTTGAACATTTGCTCTGCAATTTCTTCTGGGTTCCAGACCTGGCCAGTGATGATTGACTGGGCACAAATCCTTAACTATCGGGTAATCACCCAGCAGTAGTTGGGGACTTCGTTAACTGGTTGGCGAGTCATTCCAATAAAAATTAATAGGGGAAGGCTTACCATGAGCTGTAAGAAGGCAATGCCCTAAGCCTGCTAACAGGAGTTACAAGTTATATACTGCACCTACATATGTAAACAAAATATACTACCTGTAGTATAAATAAAACGGAGGGGGCAAGGGAGTTGGCAGGGAGGGAAAAGGTAAAGGGGCTGGCAAGGAGGGAGGGGGCGGATTCCACCCAATCAATTCTGGACCGGGTGGGATCCAGGATGGACCACAGGGATAACACTACAAACCAGACATGACAGCGCTGATCTCATCGAAACGTTTAAAATATTGAATAATTTGGAGAATATTGATCCAGACCACTTCTAAAATGTCAGATGTAACATAGGAGGGCCAGTTTCCAGCCTTAACAAGCCACACTGTAGGATAGAACACAAAACATGCTTTTTTACTCAGGGTTATAAACCCATAAAATCACCTACCCACCAAAGCCGTAATTTATGTCAAAACATTGCTGCAATTTGAAAATCCAGTTAGATAAAATTATCAGGATATATGAGGGAATCTTTGACAAGTCACCGGCTTCCTGTCTCAGTCGAGGTCATTAATGAGACAGTGACCCTTAGGTAAATTCAGGTTAATTTTTTTTAACAAACCAATGAAATTGTTTACACACTAAAGCTGTAAATGCAAATGTTATTAAAAAAATGTTTAACCCAAGTTAAAAATTCACCTGGGAAAAAAAAAAGAGGGCCAAAGCGTTTACAGCCATGGGCGTGCCAATTGGCGGGACACTGGTGTTAATATTGCCTAAAAAGAACAATTTTGTTTATAATTTGAGTGCAGTGAGAGAGGGGAGAGAGAGAGAGGAAGGGAACAGAGAATGATGGGAGACTTGCCAAACTCGAGGAGCCAGAGCCGAGATTCTCCTGCTCCAGAATGGGAGCTGATGAGGTTGAATCCACACTGTTATTCTGTAAGTGCTCTTCTATGTTGGGACATCTATCACTCACTCCCGTTTTCGTCGCAGACTTACTACTTTCTCTCAACGTACTAGTTCCAGCTGCTCCACTTCCTCTACAATTCAGGTTACTACTTTCACTCGACTTCTCTGTACTAGTGCTATTTTCCAGCTTGTTAGTTGCTGCATTAATATGTTGTCTTTTGTCTGCTACTTTCTGCTTGCAGATTTTTTGTTCATGCTCTGAAGGACACTTTTCAATGGTTACAATCTCTTTAAGCAAACACTTTGATGATTCAATTGCATTTGTATTTTCCCTATTCTGTGTCAAAACCTCATTACTATCTAAATTTTCCATGTCCACTAGCTTTTCACAATGGTTTTCAGTTTTTTTCCTAGTAATGGTAGCTCTTTTTTCCAGCTGTGTTCTGTCCAACTTACATTTTTGCAAAGAATTGGGCAATACTTTAGATTCTAGATCATCCAAATTGCCTGAAATTGCACACTGTTCCTCCTTGACCAAGCTAGATGAATGAACAGATGCTTCTTCCACCACCAAGCCAGGTGGACATGTAGATTCTTCAGACATGTGAAGACTGCACGTTGACGCAGATCCTTTTTCCACATCCAAACCAGATGCAATAGTGGATTCCTCCATCACCAAGTTGGATAAGAGAGAGTATCCTTCCTGGACCATGCAAGACGAAGACACAGATTCCACCTGGGCTGTGCCAGATGAAGGCACAGATTCTGCCTGGGCTGTGCCAGATGAAGGCACAGATTCTGCCTGGGCTGTGCCAGATGAAGGCACAGATTCTGCCTGGGCTGTGCCAGATGAAGGCACAGATTCTGCCTGGGCTGTGCCAGATGAAGGCACAGATTCTGCCTGGGCTGTGCCAGATGAAGGCACAGATTCTGCCTGGGCTGAACAAGACGAAGGCACAGATTCCGCCTGGGCTGAACAAGACGAAGGCACAGATTCCGCCTGGGCTGAACAAGACAAAGGCACAGATTCTGCCTGGTCCATGCCAGCTGAAGCCATAGATTTTGCCTGGGTCATGCCTGGTGAAGGCAGTGTGTCTTCTTGAACCAAGCCATGTAAAGATACAAATTCCTCTTCCTTGGTTGAACTGCATGAAGAAGTGCATCTTAATTCCGGGACTGAGCAGATTGCAGAAAACCCACCTTCCTGGACCAAGCTGGATGAAGGTGCGGATTCTTCTTCCTGGACCAAGCTGGATGACGGTGCGGATTCTTCTTCCTGGACCAAGCTGGATGACGGTGCGGATTCTTCTTCCTGGACCAAGCTGGATGAAGGTGCGGATTCTTCTTCCTGGGCCAAGCTGGATGAAGGTGCGGATTCTTCTTCCTGGACCAAGCTGGATGAAGGTGCGGATTCTTCTTCCTGGACCAAGCTGGATGAAGGTGCGGATTCTTCTTCCTGGGCCAAGCTGGATGAAGGTGCGGATTCTTCTTCCTGGGCCAAGCTGGATGAAGGTGCGGATTCTTCTTCCTGGGCCAAGCTGGATGAAGGTGCGGATTCTTCTTCCTGGGCCAAGCTGGATGAAGGTGCGGATTCTTCTTCCTGGGCCAAGCTGGATGAAGGTGCGGATTCTTCTTCCTGGGCCAAGCTGGATGAAGGTGCGGATTCTTCTTCCTGGGCCAAGCTGGATGAAGGTGCGGATTCTTCTTCCTGGGCCAAGCTGGATGAAGGTGCGGATTCTTCTTCCTGGGACAAGCTGGATGAAGGTGCGGATTCTTCTTCCTGGGCCAAGCTGGATGAAGGTGCGGATTCTTCTTCCTGGGCCAAGCTGGATGAAGGTGCGGATTCTTCTTCCTGGGCCAAGCTGGATGAAGGTGCGGATTCTTCTTCCTGGGCCAAGCTGGATGAAGGTGCGGATTCTTCTTCCTGGGCCAAGCTGGATGAAGGTGCGGATTCTTCTTCCTGGGCCAAGCTGGATGAAGGTGCGGATTCTTCTTCCTGGACCAAGCTGGATGAAGGTGCGGATTCTTCTTCCTGGACCAAGCTGGATGAAGGTGCAGATTCTTCTTCCTGGACCAAGCTGGATGAAGGTGCGGATTCTTCTTCCTGGACCAAGCTGGATGAAGGTGCGGATTCTTCTTCCTGGACCAAGCTGGATGAAGGTGCGGATTCTTCTTCCTGGACCAAGCTGGATGAAGGTGCGGATTCTTCTTCCTGGACCAAGCTGGATGAAGGTGCGGATTCTTCTTCCTGGACCAAGCTGGATGAAGGTGCGGATTCTTCTTCCTGGACCAAGCTGGATGAAGGTGCGGATTTTTCTTCCTGGACCAAGCTGGATGAAGGTGCGGATTCTTCTTCCTGGACCAAGCTGGATGATGGTGCGGATTCTTCTTCTTGGACCAAGCTGGATGAAGGTGTAGATTCTTCCTCCTGGACCAAGCTGGATGAAGGTGCGGATTCTTCTTCCTGGACCAAGCTGGATGATGGTGCGGATTCTTCTTCTTGGACCAAGCTGGATGAAGGTGTAGATTCTTCCTCCTGGACCAAGCTGGATGAAGGTGCGGATTCTTCTTCCTGGACCAAGCTGGATGAAAGTGCAGCTTGTTCTCCCAAGGCAGTGCTGGATGAAATACCAAAGTCATCTTCCTGGTTCAAGCTACAGGAGAGGGTAGTTTGCTCTTCCCGACTCAAACTAGATGACAGGGATGCTTCTTCAACACTTGGGCCGAGTAACTCGCTACATGGATCACCTTGCTTCAATGAGATCAGTTTTTCATGATCCAAGCTATATGCAAGAGTAGACTGATCTTTGACAATGACATCAGATGAGAGAGTTGACATTTCTTTCTTGGTCAAATTAGATGAAATAGGAGAGTCTTCTTTGTCAAAATGGGCCAAAATAACTGGGTGTTCTTCCCGATGTGTAATCAAATTCACCTTCTGGACTACAAATCCATTTTCTTGATCGGATATAGATGGAGTAGTGTGATCTTGTGGCAAATCAGCATCTTTAACTCCAGTCGAGGTGAATTCAAGAGAATTTTCTGAAATTATTTGGGGAAAATTTGATTCTCTTGCATTCTCCTCCTCTGCAGCACACAGAACAACAGAGGAAATATCTTCACTTGCTGGATATGCAGGCAAAGATATCGCTTCGCCCAGAAACTTAGGCCTGAGTGGTGAGGAACAGCTCTCTTCTGTCATCACATGACTTTCTAACCCTGCCATTTTATGCACTTCAACCCATTCTTGATTAGCACTTTGTTCTTTTAAAGTACACTTATTGATAATTCCATCCTTTATGTTAGGACACAAGACATTGCTCTCAGTGTCATTTAGACCAGCTGCAATACAAGATGAAGTCAAACCACTGTCAGGCATAATACCATCACTAGATTTCCCCGACGTGGTTAACACTTTCCTAATCCCATCTTTCTCACTCTCAATTTGGTCATTAACTGTATTGGCTTGCTGCAAGTTATTTTCAGATGTCATATTGTCCAGCCTTTTAGACTTATCCACCAAGTCACTTGTAATCACACTGTCGAAGTTATTTAGACTTGTACTGCATTCTCGTGTTTCAAGGGGTATCGAAGTATTTTTAATCTCGCTGACATTATTTTCATTTGTACTGCCAGCTACATGATCCAAATTAATATCAGAATTTCTGCCACTTCTTGGCAGATGCCCATTAAAATTTTCATATTGGCTGTTTGTATCATGTATATCTTCACATTCTTTTGAGTCACCATTGCTGCCTTCCATAGCAAGCCGAGATTTAATTTCTGAACAAGTGGCAACATTTTCTTCAGAGCTTATGCTCAAGTCATCTCGTTTCCCTGGATCACGCTGCCGTTTTCTTGAATTTAATAGAATATAAACAAGAGCACCTGCTCCTGTTACAGCTGCTGCGGCTCCCAGTGCTGCCTTCATTCCTTTGAAAAAACAAATAAATTTAAACTTTGTACAGTACGCTATTGTGCACTACATATTAGCACCAGAATGCAAAAATCTTCCTACATTATTTAATCAAGTACAGTATAGTAATAGTAAAAATCTACCCATTAAATCTATAACAATTAAGTTGACGGGTTTTCAACTTCATGAAGGCCATACTTTTATAAAGGAAATATATCAGAACTCAGACTGATTCAAGACCGAGTTCTGTTTATTTTTTATCTGCACATAACAATACATGTAATTTAAGCCTAGAAAAATTTCACATAGCATCAATTATGACTAAGAAAGGTTGTTTATATTTAGCTTAATTCTAATCCGATACACATTTGCTGTAATTAGAAATTTAAAACTGTCCACAAGTTAAAATAATACATAAAGTTACTCTGAAACATTTTGAAACATAATAATAGGTTAGAATAAATATTTTTAGTTTTCAAAATTCAGTGCATGGTTCTTATGAAAAGCAAAGTTATTAAACTTGATAGTCAGATTTAAGAAGCAATATATTTAATTTGTTTTCTTTTGTTTTTGAGCAGATGCAATATAAGTGTAGGACAACATGGAGGTACACACACAAAGTGTTATATGGATGCTTTTGAGACCTCTTCCCAACAGGCTGTTGCTTAAAGCAGCCTGCGGGGCGCTCCAAACAACAGCCTGCTGGTTCTCCAGGTATGGGTAATAAATGGTGTCCAGAGAATAGCACCAAACATGGCCCCATTTTCAGTTTTCAAAATATATCTACAGCACCGTATATCTACATCAATTGAAAATGTTAGTAACACATGCCAAATACTCCATGCTATCTTGCATATTAATATTAACATCCAATTCTTTAGTATACAGTTTATAACTATATATTTTATTATTATGACTTTCACTTGGGTAAATAAGTTACTAAATGTGTGAAGACTAACCCAGCTATAAATGTATAAAATAAACATTTATGAATAAAGTATTTCAATTAAATTTCAAATCAGTTAATCAAGTCTACATTAAGATGCCTAAATTTTTAGCCTGGAAATAATAATACAACTCAAGCCTGGCCTCAGGTCAGGATTGGGGAGTAAAAGAACTACCAGAACCCCATCAACCAGGTAAACTCCATGAATACATCCCAATGAATAAAACTGTTCATTATACCAGTCCTGGTCGAGGACCGGGCCGTGCGGACATTAAGTCCCGAAATCATCGCGCGGTAAAGGAACCATATGATGCAAGATTAATTTAATAGAGAATGTGATTGCGGGGTTCAGTCCCTGAGCCCATTATGTGCCTCTGTAACCCTTTCCACTACCACCCACAAGATGGGTATGGGGTGCATAATAAATGAACTAAACTAAACTAGAGAATGTGAACTTTCAAATAAGATAACAGTCAATGACTGGAGTGCCAAGACGAGGGTCAACGAGCCTGCTCAGCAGCCAGCAACTGACTCAGGCGGAAACATGACCCGTGATACAGCATTTCTCCCTCAACAGTTTTTAACCATTCCTCACGCCCCGGCTCAAGAAAACTCCAAGCTGTTCACATCCCTCCCTTGCAAGATGGTTACTTAGCAGCGTAAGAGTGTGGGGAGGGCTAGAATACCGCGGTAATGAGGTGGTAAAGGGAGACAAGGGAGCAGGGAAGCCAGACTCGTCAGCTGATCTAATTCAAGACACGGGAGGCCAGAGAAAGAACGTCACAAGTCACGCTCATAAACCACCATTGCCATGCATATCACCTCACCTCTTGCTAACTTACCCAAATATAAGTACATTACATTAAGAATAGAAAACTATAATCTCTCTTTACCAAGCGTAATTGTAGCCAAATACGCACTTAAAACACCCGTGGGCGAGCCAACACGTGCACCCACCAACTATATACACAGCTCTGCTCGTGCTCTCTCACCCTACACTGTTCACTAATTTGGTCGCGCTTTCTGAAATTTTGCCCAGACTAAAATTTCTGTCTTAAATATTTCTTAATGGTATTTAGTGTTACATTTTTAATAATAAACAGCAAGGCGTTATCTCTACATTGTCACAAAGAAACAATTACCTAAAGGTTATTATATCTCTAAATTAAAGTTAAGTCATCACGTCAGGTTCTACAAATTTACTTTTCAAATGTTAATTTAGCAATAGAAATAGAAATAGATCACGCAAAATAATAAAACATGTGTACTCCAGTGGAAATATCAGTTTGATCCACCAAAGTGTTACAAATATATACTTACCGTAGTATATATTTGTATAAGTAAGTATATATAATACGAGAACGGAAGGACATTAGGGGAATGCCAACACAGGTATCGGAGTCACTAAGGATTCAATGAGATCAGCCTTGACATGTCTGGTTAACAATGTTGTTAGCCCTGTGGACCTGTTACGCCTGATATACACATAAATATGTCTAAACAACCCCATTCACATTTATAATAGCATAATAATGTCACTCACGGTTATAGTCAAATTATAATATTGGAAATGTTTAACTTCATTAATAAAAAGAAAAAATCCAGAAAACAGACCATCGTCGCGCTCTTAAAGTAGCGGTGAAGTGGACCAACAGGACAAGACGCACTAAGGAATGAGTCCAGGTGAAGTTTTACACAAAGTCTCGTGTTGTCGTCAGAAGCCGCCATCACACACATATATAGTACCTTCAAATAAAACAACAACCTTCTTTTAGGACTATTAAATGTAATGTATGTTTGTGTAAGTTGTCTTATATTAAAAATAAAAATTATTAACCGTAAGTTGTGGCATGACTGGCACATAGATGGAACTAAAGCATTATGCAGTTATCGTACAGTAGTTATCCCGTTATGATACTGTCTGTGGATTTACAACCATGAAAGTTGATTTACAACCATGAAAGTTGATTTACAACTATGAAAGTTGATTTACAACTATGAAAGAATCTTCTCGTTAGACGCTTAACATTCCTGGAGATTTGTTGCTGAAATGTTGCACAAACTATTTGGCCCAGCTGAGCATAGCATCAGACACGTAAATAGAGATGGTTTCATCTATCTGCGGTTTCAGGTTTTGCATTTTATAACAAATTATAATTGCTGACTCCATATCCATATGTATAATGCATTAAGTTGTTATAAGGTAGAGACAATACAATAGGAATATATCCTATATACACTAGCTGGTATATGTGTACCCTATGCAGGTTTAATTTAATTAATTTTTAATGTATTGTGCACACTTGACCCCATCCTGCGCAGAGCGGGAAAGTTGAAAAAGTTACTTCAGTAATACATATATGATAACAAGACCCATATTAGAATTTGACGAAACTAATTTTATACGACACAATAGGTAGTTATACAATGCCTGGATAATTTATGTGTGGACTTCATTAGTAAGGGATTAATGGCCCTGCGGATAATATTTAGATCCTACATTATTATTTTGATAAAAACTATTTATAATGTACATGTAACATTCCGTGCAGCCACCCATATACACCTCCCACTTCTTAGTTCTCACTTCTTAGTTCTCACTTCTTAGTTCTCAGATCTTAGTTCTCACATCTTAGTTCTCACATCTTAGTTCTCACTTCTTAGTTCTCACATCTTAGTTCTCACATCTTAGTTCTCACATCTTAGTTCTCACATCTTAGTTCTCACTTCTTAGTTCTCACTTCTTAGTTCTCACATCTTAGTTCTCACATCTTAGTTCTCACATCTTAGTTCTCACATCTTAGTTCTCACATCTTAGTTCTCACAACTTAGTTCTCACATCTTAGTTCTCACATCTTAGTTCTCACATCTTAGTTCTCACATCTTAGTTCTCACATCTTAGTTCTCACTTCTTAGTTCTCACTTCTTAGCTCTCAGATCTTAGTTCTCACTTCTTAGTTCTCACATCTTAGTTCTCACATCTTAGTTCTCACATCTTAGTTCTCACATCTTAGTTCTCACATCTTAGTTCTCACTTCTTAGTTCTCACTTCTTAGTTCTCACTTCTTAGTTCTCACATCTTAGTTCTCACTTCTTAGTTCTCACATCTTCTCACATCTTAGTTCTCACATCTTAGTTCTCACTTCTTAGTTCTCACATCTTAGTTCTCACATCTTAGTTCTCACTTCTAAACGTAGCTTCGTCTCGAACTATATAACGTTCGAAATGTTATAATATTAATAATAATAATAATAATAATTATTATTATTATTATTATTCATTCAGTCATTCATTATTAATTTATTTATTTATAAATAAATAAATAAAGTATTTATTTATTTATTAGATATACAATCGATAATTTTAGTAGCTGTTTTGCTACTAAAGTAGCTATTTAGTAGATTTTAGTAGCTATTTTGTAGGCCCAATGTTCATAAATTTTATGAAACCATTATTTACGTCTAAATAAATTTATGTTAAATGAGAAAAAATAATTGCAAATTCAATTATATATATTTTTTGTCCTCTGGTGAATGGTGTTGCACAATGTGTTGTTATAGCAACGGTTGCCATGGCAACGCACAACGCCGCCAGTCAGCTGACGACCGACCACGTTGGGGGGACGTAGCACTTAGGCTGTTACTATAATGTTCATTTCCCTTTAACTTCATTCTAGTCACGGCTACAAGGAGTGAGTAATTACCGTATCATCGAGAAACTTAGCGTTATTTAGATAACAGGAAACCATGTTTTAATTTCAAGGGAGTATTAAAGGCCTGTTGTTATGATTTTAAGGGGGGCTCCCTCTCGTCTTGTTTACAGGGGGTCCTCTTGTCATTCTAGGGGGCCCTCTTGTCATTCTAGGGGGCCCACTTGTCATTCCAGGGGGGCCCACTTGTCATTCCAGGGGGGCCCACTTGTCATTCTAGGGGCCCACCTCTTATCATGATCATAGAGGATCCTCTTGTCTTTTCATAGCGACTTTTGTGCGTGCTGGGAGTTAAGTTGTGAGTTAAGTAGCTGACCCTGACTATAGAGAGCCGGTCGGCCGAGCGGACAGCACGCTGGACTTGTGATCCTGTGGTCCCGGGTTCGATCCCGGGCGCCGGCGAGAAACAATGGGCAGAGTTTCTTTCACCCTATGCCCCTGTTACCTAGCATTAAAATAGGTACCTGGGTGTTAGTGTTAGTACATGGGGGTGGAGGCCTGGTCGAGGACCGGGCCGCGGGGACACTAAAACCCCCGAAATCATCTCAAGATAACCCTATCTTAGCTCTGCCGTATATACATTAGAATGCACTGGTTAATTTTTTATTTTTTATTTTTTAATTTAACATAAAGAAAATTTCATGTTTAATTACCTTAATTTTTTAAATATATTATGTTTAATGGTTAACTTGTTGGTAATTACTGTAGTTTAATTCAAGTTACTTACCAGTATTGTACTACACAGGAGGGTATGTTGTTATTAACAGAAGTGCTTACATGGTGAATAGCAGCATAACACTAGCCGGCAGCACGCCCTTGACCCAGCTGTGACCAGCAGCACGCCCTCGACCCTCGTCAGCAGTACGCCCTCGTCCCTCAGAGGTGATGGCAGGCGACACAGGGGATGGCCTCTCCCCGCACGAGGCTCTGCGAGCCCAGGTAGACCGTCTCTGTGAGCAGGTCAGTCTTACGTTCTCTGGTCTTCTTTAGCAAAGCATTTGTTATCATGTATAAGTGCCATCACCTACGCTGGACGATAACCTCCGTTACTGAACAGTCCGTAGTAATTTGGTATCGTATAATGACAAAAAATCCTGCTGACAACCACATAAAAATTCAAATTTATATAGAAATATGTATTTAAATTAAACGTTGAAGGTGCAATGGTAAAGTTACTCCATAACGTAAAATATTTTGTGATTATCGTGACATTGATTAGAACAGCACCTGCAGCTAGGATGCTCTCACGACCATGTGTAGGGTGCGGCCTGCCACCTCATATCTTCTGTTAGAGTATCTTCTGTTAGAGTTCTCTATTGAACTGTTCTTATCATAGAATCTTAGGTGTCGTCACCCTAGTATAGCCACTAGTGCCGTTAGACCTATCCAGAAAACGTTAAGGGGCATTTAGTGGGTTTATAACAAATCATTAAAGTATGAGTGTTGCACTATTTGTGACATTATTTGACGTGGGGGAACTTTAGCAGGGTCTACGTAAATGGATCCTTAGCCGAGCATAGATCGGAAATAATTTTCGAATTTTGTTTTGTCTAGAATTCCCCGTCCCATCCCGAATGCTGAACCCTTCCAAGTGCTATATAGTCGTAATGGCTTGGCGCTTTCCCCTTATAAGTCTCCCCTTGTCTAGAATGCAGTTTCAACTAGTTTGATGAATGTTTTATAGGAATACCAGTTTCTTATTTATAGGAATACTTAGCCAGTTTCTTCATGGAAATGTTGAGAAACTCGACATGTTTAGAGTAGGCTACAATACAATTATTGTATTCAGATGATGAGTCACAATTTCGGTCTGTCCTGGACCATTATCAAGTTGATTGTGGACCATTGAACCATTATCAACAGACGCACATATTTCACCTGATATTTCAATATTTTCTAGCGATTTACAACAAATTTAACGCCATTTCCTCGATGAACAATTACATTATTTCTCTTAAATTGCGTACCCAAGCAATTACAATCTCTCATGTTTATATGATGTGTTTGGGTGCTTGGGCAGATGGAGGCCCTCCTAGAGGAGAACAGGGAGCTAGACGGGGCCCACCAGCTCCCCATCACGGAGTTCACCCTCAACCCCCGTCGTCTGGCAGCACTCCAGGACCGTCTCGTCCACAAGTGAGCCCCATGATGTTTACCTAACTACACACACACACCTTCGTGTGAGTATTTGGATGGGAGGGGTTACTTTGGGGGCACATGGGTGGCAGCACAGTTTGAGGAGTACTCACCTAGTTGTGCTTGCGGGGGTTGAGCTCTGGCTCTTTGATCCCGCCTCTCAACTGTCAATCAACAGGTGTACAGGTTCCTGAGCCTATTGGGCTCTATCATATCTACACTTGAAACTGTGTATGGAGTCAGCCTCCACCACATCACTTCCCAATGCATTCCATTTGTCAACCACTCTGACACTAAAAAAAGTTCTTTCTAATATCTCTGTGGCTCATTTGGGCACTCAGTTTCCACCTGTGTCCCCTAGTGCGTGTGCCCCTTGTGTTAAACAGCCTGTCTTTATCAACCCTGTCGATTCCCTTGAGGTATTGTCCCTGTGAGGGGAAAGTAGGGGAAGGGGAGAGAGGTCTGAAAAAAAAGAAAGTAGACGAAATTGGAATGTGGAGGGAAATAGGAGAGGCTATAGTACTTCTCCAGCAGTATAGTGGCTGCAGAAGTGTCGGGGTCGGCTGGGTAGGAGTGTTGAAGGTTATGCAGGTTCGAGGAGCATGGGTTAATCGAGGGTGTAGGTAGAATTTCGTAGTAGAAAAGGGTAAACAAAAAACGGGAAGGATCAGGGAATGGATGTTGGGATTTGAGGTATGTTTGTGGGATTTGATGTGTGTATTTGTGTATGTTTATGTACTATCACCTCTGGTTGTGTTTGTGGGGGGACCCTCAGCCCCGAAGAAGAGGATATGCAGCACCTGGCGGAGCTTTGTAACTGGGCTTTCATTTTTGCTCACATATAGTCTTTTCCTACCACCCATATATATATATATATATATATATATATATATATATATATATATATATATATTAAATATGACCGAAAAAGTAAGATTAATAATTCTAACACGAATTTTCTCAATCTTTCGTACATTACGCTTCACTGTTGGAGGTAAATCAAAAATCACTTCTCCAAAATTCATTTTTATTTCTAGTCTGACGCGACACGGGCGCGTTTCGTAAAACTTATTACATTTTCAAAGACTTCACAAATACACAACTGATTAGAACTTACGTCTCTCTGATATTATATCTACATTTGAGTGAGGTGGGAAGGATGATGTAGCATTAACACAAGACAGAACAGGGGATATTAATAGGGTATTAAAAGTATCAACACAAGACAGAACAGAAACAATGGGTATTGAATAGAAGTGTTTGTAGAAAGCCTATTGGTCCATATTTCTTGATGCTTCTATATTGGAGCGGAGTCTTGAGGTGGGTAGAATATAGTTGTGCAATAATTGGCTGTTGATTGCTGGTGTTGACTTCTTGATGTGTAGTGCCTCGCAAACGTCAAGCCGCCTGCTATCGCTGTATCTATCGATGATTTCTGTGTTGTTTACTAGGATTTCTCTGGCGATGGTTTGGTTATGGGAAGAGATTATATGTTCCTTAATGGAGCCCTGTTGCTTATGCATCGTTAAACGCCTAGAAAGAGATGTTGTTGTCTTGCCTATATACTGGGTTTTTTGGAGCTTACAGTCCCCAAGTGGGCATTTGAAGGCAATTCGTGTTAGAATTATTAATCTTACTTTTTCGGTCATATTTAATAATATATGTCTACAGGAAAGACTGCTACCAAAATATATATATATATATATATATATATATATATATATATATATATATATATATATATATATATATATTTATTTATTATGAGTGATTAGAACGTCGACCTATTAAACTGGAAGAATGGAATTCAGTACCTCGTGTAGAGGAGAGAATGTAGACGTATCTTGTATTATCTTATCTGGCTGCACCTGCTTGACTCCCATCCCGTCCTCATCATTGACAAATATGTAATTGTTTCCCCCTGACCAAGATACCTTGGGACCTAAGCCACCCACTTAACCAATGGAGGTCGGGGCCGAGATATCGTCAACTTTACGGTGTTTTCGTGTTCTTTATATGTGACTTATATGTGACTTAGGTCCCCAGTTGCACGCTTTGTTTTGTTTTGACAAATGTTACACGTATATTTGTTTACTGTTTGTAGGCAGTCGAATTTGACTGCGTATGTTTTGCTTTGTTTACAAACTGCAGTCATTTACGAGTACCTGACTGGGCTTGATTATGTAGGTGGGTTTGTATGTGAATGACCCACCTGAATTACCTTCACCTGCTCGACCTTACACCATCTTCACCTTCCTATCATCACCTCCCTGACGTCACCTCACCTTCACCTCTCTGACTTAGACTCCACCTTCGGGGGACCAGTCGTGTACTGTATTTGGATACAGTTCAGATGCGTGTGATCTGATATGGCTATATCTATGAAATAAGATATGCTTGTTTGCCCAGGATTGTAGGCTAGACGCTAGAGGATAGCCTCACCAAAATTTGAACTGTGACTGATGGGTATATGAGAATTCTCCAGTGAGTCAGAGTTGGCCCTTTTCCCACCCCTTGGGCAATAAAGGGCAAATTTTATGTGAAATTCCAATCCCTCTAAACACCAGACTCTATCTTCACTATGATTCGTCCAGCATATTATTGTCATGATGCTTGAGTGTTGGGCGCTCTCAGAATCTGTACACAGTTTAGTGGAAGTATCCGGCGGTGCCAGGGGTAGTGAAGGTGGCTACAGTGATGAGGACAGTGTATAGTGAAGGTGGGTACAGTGACGAGGACAGTGTGTAGTGTAGATGTGACCCCCACATCCGAACAACGCGGGGTACCCAAGCCTGCAATGCAGAGATCTAGTAATAGATTAATGCAGATATCTAGTAATGTATAATACAGTAACATAATAATACAAGTTGAGGCGTTGCCCCCTCTCACAGGGAGGTGAGTGTGGTGAGGGAGGTGGAGAGGACGCGGCTCCTGAAGCTGCTACAGTGTCATCACCTGAAGGAGGCCGCCTGGGATAACATGGCCGTCAAGGCCCGCTCCCTCTTCGTGAGTAGCCTAGCATCATGCAGGTCGGCGTTCAATCCCCGACCGTCCACAAGTGGTTGGGCACAATTCCTTTCCCCTCGTCCCATCCCAAATCCTTATCCTGACCCCTTCCAAGTGCCATATAGTCGTAATGGCTTGTCGCTTTTCCCCTGATAATTCCCTCCCTCCCCACACACGTTTAAGCAAATACCTCTTAACTCATCAATATATATATTTTACCCCGACCTCCTAAAATTGTTGAACTTAAATCATAAAAATTAAATCATAAAATTGTTGAACCTAAAATTCTAAAATTGTTAAAGTTTAAAAGCGACTATTTGGTCAAACGTGTTTAGCATGACTTAGCTTACTTGCCATTTTAAAGATTTGAATGCAACAAAAGAACCTAGTATAACCTGTGCAAGCAATCCTAGGCTTAATATACGCTATATTAGCATTAATACAGTACAAGTAGGTGCTATATTAAACCTAGGAATGTTTGCTTGATTTTTTAGCTTAATGTGTTCGTTCTTAGAGCATAAAACGTTAAGATTGTTGAATGTAACAGTCCATGTTTTGTACGTTTGACTAAATAATTATTACAAGTACAATCATTGCAGGAGGAAGCGTTGATATATTTATATCCAGATGTTTCTTTATATTAATTACTAAATGAAAATACCATAATAAAAACTTAACTTCATATTAAACATTTGTATCACAAAATATAATAGATTTATTAGATTACTTATTGAATTTATTAGATTATATATGGTAATCTAAATAATAGACTTAATAGATTACAGGTCAACATATATATGGTGAGCTGTAATATATCTGTAGATGTTTTATTGAACAAGTAAGTTGGTAGGTGTGTCAGCAGGGAGCCGCGGCCTGACTTTGGTGTCTCTGGCAGTGTATTTGTTGTGACGTCAGCGTGAGGAACTACCCGGTGGCGGTGCTGAGACCCGGGGCGTGGCTGGCGGTGGTGGCGGTGGTGCGCAACAGGTGGGTGGCGGTGGTGGTGCGCAGCAGGTGGGTGGCGGTGGTGGTGCGCAGCAGGTGGGTGGCGGTGGTGGTGCGCAGCAGGTGGGTGGCGGTGGTGCGCAGCAGGTGGGTGGCGGTGGTGGTGGTGCGCAGCAGGTGGGTGATGGCTGTGGTGGTGCGCAGCAGGTGGGTGATGGCTGTGGTGGTGCGCAGCAGGTGGGTGGTGGTGGTGGTGGTGCGCAGCAGGTGGGTGGCGGTGGTGGTGGTGCACAGCAGGTGGGTGGTGGTGGTGGTGCGCAGCAGGTGGGTGATGGCTGTGGTGGTGCGCAGCAGGTGGGTGGCGGTGGTGGTGGTGCGCAGCAGGTGGGTGGTGGTGGTGGTGCGCAGCAGGTGGGTGATGGCTGTGGTGGTGCGCAGCAGGTGGGTGGCGGTGGTGGTGCGCAGCAGGTGGGTGGCGGTGGTGGTGGTGCGCAGCAGGTGGGTGGCGGTGGTGGTGGTGCGCAACAGGTGGGTGGCGGTGGTGGTGCGCAACAGGTGGGTGGCGGTGGTGGTGGTGGTGCGCAGCAGGTGGGTGGCGGTGCGCAGCAGGTGGGTGGCGGTGGTGGTGGTGGTGCGCAACAGGTGGCTTGTGGCGGTGGTGGTGGTGCGCAACAGGTGGCTGGTGGCGGTGGTGCGCAGCAGGTGGGTGGCGGTGGTGGTGCGCAGCAGGTGGGTGGCGGTGGTGGTGGTGCGCAACAGGTGGCTGGTGGTACTGGTGGTTGATGCAGTGTAATAAAAGTCAGCAAAGGAGACCGAACCTTAAACAAAGGAGGACACCTAAATTCATAGGTTTAAAGACACATATGGACGGTAACAAAGGGATAGAGAACCATTGAATTCGGTGACTGACAATAACATAGCCGAAGCCTGGTAGCTGAATTATGGGTGTTAGGCAAGTACACCCATGCTACTTAACAAGGTATAAAATTACATTACAAATTACATGAAGCTAAAATTGTGGCTGTGATTGTTACGGCCCTCTCGGGACGCAACGGGGTTCTTACTCTGATGTTATTAGAGGAAGTAGTATCCGGCCCCAAGCCAGTAGTGGCTTTCAAGGAATGAGATCCGTGACGCAAGAAAACTTAAAGGGGGAAGGGAAAGAAAGTTAAGAACTTAAGACTATAATTATTACCATCACCAAATAAATAATATATAAAAGAGTGCACAGGGGGAGGGGTATTAACACTGTACAGGGGAAATACACAATCGTCTTCTCCTGAAGACTCTGGATCCAACTTCTCGGTGCTGAGTCCTCGGTGCTTTCGTAGTCTCTTGACGAATCCTTCGACCAAGCTGAGTCTACCCTGGCCACAGGTCAGCCAAAACACAGGTCCACTGGGGGCACCGCCGTGAAGGCCGTCAACCACAAGTCCAGCAGGTCTGCTGGCAGGTTCTGGATCAGCCACGCTGGTCAGGCCACTCCACGAACGATACTAGGGTAGCGCCCTAGTCAGGAGCCTCGTGTGATACCACAAATCACTCTCCTGCCCTCAATACCCCAGTGGATAATCGTCTCCAGCAGTTGGTCCCGGGTAATCCTTCTACTGCCACTCCACCGGCATGGTAACACCACAGTGTTCTTCCGGGAGGCGACTCACAGCTGCTACAGCAAAGCACAAGGTATGGAGACGGCTGCCTTGGGTAGACTGACTCAACTTCCATCACAGCAGTCCCAGGTCGACTCTGTAAGCAGACACGTCATCAATAACTGGGACACACTAAGGCACCTCACTTACAGGCTCAGACACAAACGCCCACCTATCCACTCCATAGATGGCGCTGTCGTCTGAGCACCACCTCACCAGAGGTCAGCAACGGCTGTGTTGTGAGCTGCACAGGACTGGAAACTGGCCCTTGTGGCCAGTACTCGTCGTCCTCACCAGGTGTCGTCGTCCGTTTGGAGGGGGTTTCGGGAGCTGACCCACAGATGGCGCGGTCGTCACTGCTCCGTGCTCGGACGCTGGATCCGGGTTCGTAACAGTGATATATAGTGGTGGTCGACTACCTGTACCTGGATAAGGTACAGGTGCCTTATAGAGTATAGAGCTTTCTCCTGTTTACCTTGCCTTACCTCTCGCTTATTAGTGCTTTAATATAAATACGTAACTTGCAATAGCAGTGTTTAATAGCTATGTTAATTATGTCTTTAGTACACACAAGGTGTATGAAACTTGTGAGAAGTGTCTTCCTTGTCTTAAGTATTTCACAGTATGTTCAACTGATGTCTCCACATCAGTCTTCCTTCCATCCTCCTTCCAATTATTCCACTACCTTTACTCCCTCTTAGTTCTTTCATCGTTCCCCATTTTTAGTCTTAGACAATTTAATAGAACGGGAGAGGCTATTCAGCACCGTGTTTCCCCGAGAAAACATCAATCCTTATAGTCCTTGCTTCCAGGCTGTGTGAAATAGAAGCTTTGCGCGAGGCTGCCAAGGGCGAGACCTTATCCGGACGTGCCAGGAAGCCTGGAATATGGAAAAAGGCGTCAATTGCGGATGATTTAAAGCCATCCGTGGATGCAGAGGAGCCTTCAACGGACGCAGAGAAGGCTTCAATAGACGCAAAGAAGTCTTCAACAGATACAGAGAAGCCATCAACAGACGCAGAGAAGCCATCAACAGACGCAGAGAAGCCTTCAATGGAGTCAGGAAAGTCTTCTACGGACACCGGGAAACCCATGACGGACGCGGCAAAGATTCCACTGGACGCGGAAACGCATTCAGTGGACGAGGAGCAGCTTCCCGGTGGTGAGGGAGCTGTGGGCGAGAGCGAGGACATGGAACTCCATCTTGGAGAGGCGGAGTATCGAGAGCTGCTCTACCCGCAGCTGGAGCTCACCTGCAGGGAGCGGGTCGAGAGGCAGCTGGTCCTCATAAGGGTGAGTTACGTTAGAGCGGCCATAGACGGTCCTCATCGTGGCTTGTTAGTCACACTAGACGGATCTATCTTACTTTCAGGCTGTTATCTTCTCTGTCGTTCATTAGTTAGAACCGTTCGGTGCTTTTTCTACTCTGGATTGATGTCACCACATGTATAAATCCTTAGCATGGTGTTATTATATCGACCATTGGATTGTAGCGAATAAGGTACTCCAGCCCTTCACATCTAATGGCTCAGCCTGCTAATAGATGTGAAGGAAATAATAAAAGGTGATAATTACTATTAAGAAAGCAGAGTGACCAAACAAAATGTCTTCCTCTCCTCCAATAGTTCATGATGCGACGCGTGCAGGAGGCCTTCAACGCCAGGTTCGACGCCGTCCATCACAGGAAGGGCAGAGTCATCGAAGAGGTCCACAGACTCTCCGGGAAGCGTCACCAACTTAAGGTGCACTTTGTAGATACAACTTGGAGACGAGTACTGTATATTGACAAGTTCTCCACTCTGTGTATCCTATAACTTGCTAACCACCACATCGTGGATAATAACATTTCATTCTCTTGGACCATTGGAGCCTCGAACCGCGGACTACAGAAGCAGCAGACTGCAGTCCTACCTACTGAGCCACCAGCACCCACAATAAGGAAGGATCCCAGACACACCTCTGGTATCCAGTTGGGTGTTGCTCTCAGTGTACCGTGTTCCTCCTATACTGTTACCTATCCAAGAATTTGTCGATGCATATGTAACGTGTGTACCTTTGTGTATGTTTGTATATTTGTATGTACGTGTATCGTATCTAAATATGTATGCATGATTAAATGGATGGAGAAACTTGCTACAATGCCGTAGTGCTCGAATGAAAGTGATTGATTGTTGCCGCCGGAGGCGGCTAGTTTATTGTGCACCCCATACTCGTCTTGTGAGCGGTAGCGCAAAAAAGAGTATTTACAGAGGGCACTTAAGGTCTTTATCAGACCTCAACGGAGATTATTACAGTAACAATTACATGCATCCTTCCCACCTTATAATTATAATGTCAGCCAGTTACAGAGAATAGCTGAAAGTGAAGAAAAGACCCAATACCTGTTTAAGTGTATTATTATTACAACATTTCGGATGACCTCTACATCATTTATCAAGGTGCTGTAAACATTGTCTGCAGCACCTTGATAAAGGATGTTGAGGTGTCATAAACAAATTTGCTAATAATAATACACTTACACAACGCAGAGTTACAAACCCAGTAAGATTTCAACTAACATCAAATATAGCAGAAGTTGTTAAACACATGGCACATAATCTTACTGAAGCGACCATACGAGTCATAAATACTCATACTCCGCCCAAGTAAAACAGAAACAAGCAACACTTAGTGGGCCAGCCAGAGGCTTAGGGCCCGCGCAGGAATATCCCTGAAAAAAACTTACACACAGCCTGACAGCTGAGTGGAGAGTGCTTCGGATTCGTAATCCTGGGGTTTCGGGTTCGATCCCCAGTGGAAGCGGAAACAAATGAGCAGAGTTTCTTTCACCCTGATGCTCCTGTTACCCAGCAGTAAATAGGTACCTGGGAGTTAGACAGCTGCCACGGGCTGCTTCCTGGGGGTGTGTAACAAAAAGAAGGCCTGGTCGAGGACCGGGCCGCGGGGACGCTAAGCTCCCGAAATCATCTCAAGATAACCTCAAGACATGTATTGGGATCTTTTCTTTACTTTCAATAAATCTCGGTGAAATATTCAATAATTACTGAAAAAGGTTTCTGAAGTTCTTGTTGATATCCAGGAGGAGCTGGCGAGGCTGCGGACGGAGGAAGGCGCCAAGAGTCGAGGCCACAGTGCTAGCAGCAGCAGCAGGGAGGCCTCTGAAGCAGCCATGACCCCCACCCTCCTCCAGGTATGTAGAGTCTATGTCCATATATGTCTATATACATGTCAGAGTATACATATATGTCATAGTCTGTCTAGGTGGACCTGCCCGAAACGCTGCGCGTACTAGTGGCTTTACAAGAATGTAATTACTATGCTATGTATCCTCACAATCCCAATGTACCTTCTTGTATATATGTAAATAAATAAATAAATAAGGAAGGTAGATTCTACGCCTCCTAATGGAGGCGTAGACTCCCCGACGAGTCAAAAATACCCCAACCATGCAGTGGGCGGCAGAAGGGGTTACTTAGTATGTTGACCAGACCACACACTAGAAGGTGAAGGGACGACGACGTTTCGGTCCGTCCTGGACCATTCTCAAGTCGATTGTGACATGAGAATTGTCCAGGACGGACCGAAACGTGGTAGTCCCTTCACCTTCTAGTGTGTGGTCTGGTCAACACACTTTAGCCACGTTATTGTGACTCCTCGCCTGCACAAGGGGTTACTTAAATGTTCGGCTGGATATATAATCAGTTCCTCATCTTTTAGCTCCCAGATTTCTTCCTCATCATCAAACAAATAGTCAAAACAGTAATTATGTATTTTGTTAAAACATAGATTTTTGTTGTGGCCATTAATTAGTTTCCATTTTTAAGAATATATCCAGATACTGAGAATAGCTTGTGATATTATGCATGATAGGACTTCTATGCTATTAGATCGAACTCAAATGTTTACTTAATAATTAAGATGAAATGTCACATAAGGCCGAATGTAAGTAGTGAGATGCAAACATAAAAGCAATAGGAACTAGTGAAGGGGGAAGAAGGCACTGAGCAAAGAGAAATGAAAGAAGAGAATAGGAGCAAGTAGAGGAGGCAGAGTGAGAGAATAACCAGGACAAGGAGGAGTTTTACGAGGATCTTAAATACTTGTTACTTCGCCAGAAGGAGGACGAGGACGAAGAGTACGAGCCGTCGTGGGTACCCGAGGAGACCCCGGAGCTGATGCTGGAGGTCCACGACTCAGAGGTGACTACATCACCTTAAGGGGCCAGATTCACGAAGCAGTTACGCAAGCACTTACGAACCTGTTCATCTTTTCTCAATCTTTGGCGGCTTTGTTTACAATTATTAAACAGTTAATGAGCTCCGAAGCACCAGGAGACTGATTATAACAATAACAACAGTTGATTGGCAAGTTTTGATGTTTGTAAACTGTTTAATAAATGTAATCAAAGCCGTCAAAGATTGAGGAAAGATGTACACGTTCGTAAGTACTTGCGTAACTGCTTCGTGAATCTGGCCCCTTGTGTTCTCCACTGAGAACTGTGTCGTGTAGTCAGCCACGAACAGTTGCTCCTCAGCCTTTGTTATGCTCTACTATATCAATACAGTAGTACAAAACCTAGCTTCATATTCCTACAAAGATCTTGCTTGGTCAAGCTCTTTCAATATTTACAATATAATATTCTCGATATATATTTCGTGCAACTGATTTTCAACGAAAATTACATATATTAAAGTTGAAATTGTTTCTATTTAGTAGCGGATATGTAACTAGTCTTCAGCTCTCACTGACTGAGAACATTTAGGAAGGATTATCCAAGTACATAGTTGTGATGGTACTCCTTCAGGTGAGCAGGGAGGAGTGGAGTGACGAGGGCACTCGTGAGGGCGTCCAGGGCAGCAGGAGTGTCACTGACGACCACTCACCAGGAACCCCCACCACCCATGAGGCCTGGACGGAAGCCCGACCTTTCTTGTCAGGAAGCCTACCGTCCCAAGCTGAGACGGGCGAGACCACCACCACGCCCGTCTTCCAGGTGCACGTTGTTGAGTCCCTGCAGATGGCGTCTCTCACTTAACACCACTTTGCTATTATTTCTACCCGTCGTATCTATTGTCTCTTACTTTCGAGATCACTCGCACATGGGAAGCGCCTCACGGCTTACCCAAAACATCAAATAAAACTTATGTATAAATATAATTCAACCTGATATCCTCTTCCTTCCCTGTAACTATCTGTTCCTTGTGCCATAGACGCAGCGGCCACGGGAGGAGTGGACGTGGGCGGAGGCGCGGGCGTGGCGGGAGTGGCAAGCAGGCCAGGAGGAGGAGGCCAGACGGAGACGCGCCCACGCCACCACCCTCAGCCTCCAGCTGGAGAGGATCACCCCAGCCATCACTGTCAGTAAAGGGCCAGGAGATGGTCTTATCTATATATACATCTGTAATTACCATAAACATGAAAACAGTTGCATGAAGCCACACATCCCTAGATGTGTGGCTCTTCTTGTATGAGAGTATGATGATAGATGGAATTACTGGTGTAGATTTCAATTTGACTCAAATTTACACGGTTTTGTTGAAGTTCTCGGTGTATTATTGTTGTAAACGTATTGCGGATTTTGTTTTGTTTACGTGAAATAGAGTTTATTTTATATTTTGTGTATAAACAATGCTGTGATTGGGAGGTGGTCACGTTGACACTGTATTTTGGGCATCATGTGTTGTCTATGTTATACACGGGGACATGTATATACACTGGGAGCTATACCCTGCCCCTTGTGTATACACAGAGTTTACTCTAATCCTGGACCATGTTAAAGACTACTAAAGTATACTTGCTGGTTGGTCAGTGAACTACTGTCAAGGCCTTAGTAACCCTCGGGAGGGTAGTCTGCCTTAAGCCCAGCGCCTGTGCCGCGGGTGAAAGTGGTGACTTGGTTACAGAGTCTGCTGCAGGAGTTCGACAGTCAGGTGCTGAGCTTGGTGGATGCGAGGGTCTCGACCGACGAGGCGTTGCTCCTGTACCAGCTGGTCACAGTAAGACTACGCCACCGCCTCGCCCGCCAAGACCACCTCAACCACACCCTCACGGATCTCCAGCTCCGTCGCCAGCAGGTACTTACTCTCCTGCCCCTCCTCCAGGCACCTATTCGATGTCTGTCTGTCTATATCTCTCCTTTTTTGTGTCACCCTGCCTGAAATATCGCTCTTTCTGACCCACGACCTCCTGCAGGTTGAGGAGCGGGTGGAACAGGTGGAGTCTGAAACGGAGAACACCCGCAGGGAGGAGGCGAGAGCGAGAGCCAAACAAGAGCGCCTGCAAGAGCAGCTGAAGGAGGAAGAGGTGGCCTTGAAGAGGGCTATTATTAACCTGCCAATCGATCAGTACAACTACCTCCTGACCTTCTACAGGTAATGGAGGCCATCGTGTGTTTCCTCACATAGTTGTACTCGCCTGCAAGTTAATTCATTCTTATGTTCTTGTATAGTACTATGTATATTGAAGGATTATGGTAATAGTGGTGTTGAGAGGGAGCAGCGTGAAGGGTTGTGGCCAAACGTCTCGGCTGTTCGGAAGTCGAACCCCGGTCCATTCAGGGCTGTATTGCCATACAAAATGGAAAGAGATGTAAAACTTCTATATCAATATTAGCTTGAATATAGATCGTATTTGTTTGAATTTTTAGTGTATGGAATTATATGCATGTATATGGAGGTGAATGGTGGAGGTTATGAGTAAGATAGGAAGGAGATTTATAAAGTGTGTGTACTACAGTGTGACTGACTGATGCCCTCAGCGGCGACTGGTTTATTGTGCACTAATCTCCACTCATCCTGTGAGTGGTGCACGAAAGGTCTTAACACTTTCGCGCTTTCGATTAGAGATAACTCGTCACTGGTTTTTCTTACGATTCCGCATAACTGCCTACTTTTCTCGTCAATCGAAAAAATATTTCTATAAATTCCATTTTTAACCGAAATGGATGGGGATACTTTTGTTTTGTAGAGAATTTATTTGCGAATTTTTTGGTACCAGAATGAATATTATATCACATAAACTTCTATGAGTAAAAAAAAAATACACAAAGTATGTTTGGGGGTGTGGCGAGAGTGTGGCAGTGGGTTCCCTTTAGCCGTTGATATATCCAACACGTGGGAAATATTTGTATGTGTTATGTATATGTCTGTGTAGGGAATTTTACTGCGATCACTGTCATAAAAATTATAAAATGTTTCAACAAGTATAAACATGACAAACATCAAACGAACGAAAACAATGCGTTCGTTTCTGCCGCGAACGCATACTGAGCGACGTGGTTCTATATTTGGCGCTTCTCTTACACATGCTTTGTACAAATGTTATACAGTTCATCTTATAGAAAATTTTATTGCGAACACATTGGTATAAAAAAGAAATACGTACATAGAAAAGTAGGGTCAGGAAACGTATAAATGTATAAACTTTCCAAGCATGATTGTGTTTTCGCCAGTGCGCTCGCGGCTAACTACTCTCCACTTCACACACTCTTGCGGGTGGGCAATTACCTATATTAAACATTCATATGCATATGTCCGTGTAGAGAATTTTATTGCAATTCCAATGATACCAAAATTAGCGATGTAGGACAACTGTAGGCTTCGCAACCATTAAGAGAGTGGAAACATTTTGTTGCTGTTTGGCGCTCTCGGCGAGTGATCTGCATAGTTTTTTATTTGGTGTTGATACTCCTTATGCTTGGGCGGCATTTTATAGGTATGCTCTTATAGACAATTTCATTGCGAACACAGTGATGCCAAATTTAAATACGTGCGCCTTCAATTATTGTCAGGACAGTCAAAAGAGTGTACACTTTTTCGGTCTTACCGCATAGGCGCGCGAAGTGCCGAAAGCATCTGGGGTATTTTTTTTTTTTGAGCGCCGAGAGCGCGAAAGTGTTAATCACACCCAAATAAATGTTTACATTGTTATAATATCTATATACATTGTATGTATTCACAATGACCTTACTGGTGAGAGACACGCGGCTTGAACTGCAGCCTCTATGTATAACGACGTCCCACAAAGTACGTATGTATGAGATCTCCGAAGTGACTCTTCGAGTTCGCAGAGGTTGGACGAGCACTGAAGCTCTCTTGTGACAGCGTTCTCCAGTGGTCTAATGTTGTTGCAGCAAGCGATCGCTGAGCTGTGGTCGTCACCTGGACCTGCCCAGTGCCAGAGGAGAAGGGGTATCGACACCCCACACCCCATCCACCCCCCTGAGCCCTGCCACGGCCGCCTCACCTGCCTACACCCCTGAGGTCAGTCCCACTCAAGTATTCATATGATTCTTGAAGGTATTTATTGTTATGGCATATTGTGTGATATTGAACTATTTTGTTTAGTGTTGACCTTGATCTTGACCTCTGAGCAGAGAGGTGGGACGCGACGAGGAAGTGCCAGGCCCTCTAGACCCCCCAGCGGCGCCTCCCACAGCGATGACCTGCGACCTCTCGACGACCTCAGGTAACTGTCGACGACATTGAGAAACTGTTGATGACCCCAGGTAGCACTGGACGACCCTTGGTAGCACTGGACGACCCCAGGTAGCACTGGACGACCCCAGGTAGCACTGGACGACCCCAGGTAGCACTGGGCGACCCCAGGTAGCACTGGACGACCCCAGGTAGCACTGGACGACCCCAGATAGCACTGGACGACCCCAGGTAGCACTGGGCGACCCCAGGTAGCACTGGACGACCCCAGGTAGCACTGGGCGACCCCAGGTAGTACTGGACGGAAACTCAAGATAAATATTAGATATAAAAATCACACACCAAATACTCCTCTAAACCTACAGAAATAATACATCATGCAATGCTCCAGTAGACATACAGTACACAAAGTACAAAATAAAAAATGCGGTGAATCCAGATTAAAGAGAACGTGGTGGCCTCCTGTGGTAGGCTGGGGGAGGAGACAATGCCGGAGGGTCTCGCCGGAGGCACCAGGACCTGGAGACAGTTCCTCCGTTACCGTCGGCGCCGCCAAGACCTGCTGGAGGAGGCCGAGGAGGCCGCAGCGAAGAGAACCTCCGCCACGGCCCATCTCCAGGTTTTGGACGTCCGCCATCAGGCGCTCCTTCAGGAGGCGATGGAGGTATGTCAAATGAGTGTCTGTTTTCTATTTTTGCTTTGTTTACAAATCTCCTGCAGCTGGTGTTCCAGGAGACACCTGCAGCTGGTGTTCCAGGAGACACCTGCAGCTGGTGTTCCAGGAGACACCTGCAGCTGGTGTTCCAGGAGACACCTGCAGCTGGTGTTCCAGGAGACACCTGCAGCTGGTGTTCCAGGAGACACCTGCAGCTGGTGTTCCAGGAGACACCTGCAGCTGGTGTTCCAGGAGACACCTGCAGCTGGTGTTCCAGGAGACACCTGCAGCTGGTGTTCCAGGAGACACCTGCAGCTGGTGTTCCAGGAGACACCTGCAGCTGGTGTTCCAGGAGACACCTGCAGCTGGTGTTCCAGGAGACACCTGCAGCTGGTGTTCCAGGAGACACCTGCAGCTGGTGTTCCAGGAGACACCTGCAGCTGGTGTTCCAGGAGACACCTGCAGCTGGTGTTCCAGGAGACACCTGCAGCTGGTGTTCCAGGAGACACCTGCAGCTGGTGTTCCAGGAGACACCTGCAGCTGGTGTTCCAGGAGACACCTGCAGCTGGTGTTCCAGGAGACACCTGCAGCTGGTGTTCCAGGAGACACCTGCAGCTGGTGTTCCAGGAGACACCTGCAGCTGGTGTTCCAGGAGACACCTGCAGCTGGTGTTCCAGGAGACACCTGCAGCTGGTGTTCCAGGAGACACCTGCAGCTGGTGTTCCAGGAGACACCTGCAGCTGGTGTTCCAGGAGACACCTGCAGCTGGTGTTCCAGGAGACACCTGCAGCTGGTGTTCCAGGAGACACCTGCAGCTGGTGTTCCAGGAGACACCTGCAGCTGGTGTTCCAGGAGACACCTGCAGCTGGTGTTCCAGTAGACACCTGCAGCTGGTGTTCCAGGAGACACCTGCAGCTGGTGTTCCAGTAGACACCTGCAGCTGGTGTTCCAGTAGACACCTGCAGCTGGTGTTCCAGTAGACACCTGCAGCTGGTGTTCCAGTAGTCACACCTGCAGCTGGTGTTCCAGGAGACACCTCGATAGTAATAATAAACCTAAAATACAGTAGTTGGCTCTACGGGGTTTCTTCCAAAAGTCTGGAAATACCTGAAGAACATGAAGGTAATGTAATGATACATTAACTAACCTAGTGTCAAATCAGCTTGAGGAGGAAGCCTCGAGTACCAGCCGCGACCTGATGCTCCTGGACGAGGACATGGAGCTGGTGTTGATCCTCAGGAGCGGACAGGTCAAGGTGGACCTCGACCTCACGACGGAGACGTTGCAGCCGGAATGGAGCAGCACACAGCTGGTGCAGCTGGAGGAGCTGCAGCGTCTGGAAGCCACTGCTGAGGTGATGGACCGGGCGACGCCAGCCTCCTTATCACAGCTTCTTTACTAGTTCGTTTTGGAACCTTCTTTTGACAATTACGTACCTCCTTAACTGTTCTTCGTGTCTATATGTAGACTTCTGCTCCAGTAATGTTGTTCACACTTATAATATTGTGGTATAACCGTTATATCCTAGTGGTATAGCTCATATACTCTTCCAGTATAGATGCTATACTCTTGCGGTATACACTGTTATACTCGTACTTGATATTCACTTAAGACGTAACCTCACAGTGAATATGAAGTCCATCTCATCACCTGCGCGACGCTCAGGTACACACAGGTGTTTATGCTCAGGTACACACAGGTGTTTATGCTCAGGTACACACAGGTGTTTATGCTCGGGTACACACAGGTGTTTATGCTCGGGTACACACAGGTGTTTATGCTCAGGTACACACAGGTGTTTATGCTCGGGTACACACAGGTGTTTATGCTCGGGTACACACAGGTGTTTATGCCCGGGTACACACAGGTGTTTATGCTCAGGTACACACAGGTGTTTATGCTCAGGTACACACAGGTGTTTATGCTCAGGTACACACAGGTGTTTATGCTCGGGTACACACAGGTGTTTATGCTCGGGTACACACAGGTGTTTATGCTCAGGTACACACAGGTGTTTATGCTCGGGTACACACAGGTGTTTATGCTCGGGTACACACAGGTGTTTATGCCCGGGTACACACAGGTGTTTATGCTCAGGTACACACAGGTGTTTATGCTCAGGTACACACAGGTGTTTATGCTCAGGTACACACAGGTGTTTATGCTCGGGTACACACAGGTGTTTATGCTCAAGTACACACAGGTGTTTATGTTTATGCTCAAGTACACACAGGTGTTTATGCTCGGGTACACACAGGTGTTTATGCTCAGGTACACACAGGTGTTTATGCTCGGGTACACACAGGTGTTTATGCTCAGGTACACACAGGTGTTTATGCTCAGGTACACACAGGTGTTTATGCTCGGGTATGCTCAGGTACACACAGGTATGCTCGGGTACACACAGGTGTTTATGCTCAGGTACACACAGGTGTTTATGCTCAGGTACACACAGGTACACACAGGTGTTTATGCTCAGGTACACACAGGTGTTTATGCTCAGGTACACACAGGTGTTTATGCTCAGGTACACACAGGTGTTTATTCTCAGGTACACACAGGTGTTTATGCTCAAGTACACACAGGTGTTTATGCTCAGGTACACACAGGTGTTTATGCTCAGGCACACACACAGGTGTTTATGCTCAGGTACACACAGGTGTTTAGAGCGCCAGCAGCTAGCCAAACCAGTCTTGAGGCGTCGAGACGTGAGCCCCAGCTCGTCCTCGTCATTCACGTTAAAAACAACAATGTTTTATTAACTTTGTATGTTAAGCAAGGAAAGGCTATATTGCTTTTAAATCATTTTATCACTGCACCATGGGAAGTTAATTGTTAATATAACTAGCAAGATATATAATGACAAAATTAATTAATTGGAGATCAAAAAATGAAAGCAAATGGAAATACTTTTAAATCACAGATGAGAGATTTATTTTAAAACACACTAATATAAAATGTTTTAGACATCAGAGAGTTGTTAGAGAGAACTATGGAGGGAATAATAACAGTAAAATTGAAGTATATTATATTTGTTTCAACATTTTTCTTGTTTTTTAATATAATTTCTCTATATCTACCTGTCATTCTTGCCTTCCTCTGGCGGCGAGCAGAAGTGTGGAGACATGGAGAGAGGTGGAGGTGGTGAGAGTGTGGAGGTGGAGGCGCTGAGGACACTTCGAGGACAACTTCAGCTGGAGGTGGAGCTCGCCCGTCAGGACCTCCAGCAGATGAACACCTTCAAGGTACAGACTTAGGCGCTCTGTGTGTAGTGGTACTCACACCAGCCTCCTCTAACGTGCCCCAGGAACAGGGCCCAGATTCACCAAGCAGTTACGCAAGGACTTACGAACGTGTACATCTTTCCTCAATCTTTGACGGCTTTGGTTACATTTATTGAACAGTTTACAAGCATGAAAACTTGCCATCAACTGTTGTTATTGTTATAAACAGCTTCCTGGTGCTTCGGAGCTCATTAACTGTTTAATAATTGTAAACAAAGCCGCCAAAGATTGAGAAAAGATGGACAGGTTCGTAAGGATCTGCGTAACTGCTTCGTGAATCTGGCTCCTGATGAGTGAGGAGGTCCACCTCGCTCAACTATTCCTCATAGTTCACTCAGCTCATGCATGAGTGCTCTCAGGGCCTCATTATATAGATTCATGAGAGCTGTTTTGAACATCAGGCAGATTACTGTACGTCGCTGACGTTACCGTACGTCGCTGATGTTACTGTACGTCGCTGACGGTATCGTATTAACCTAATTGTACTCACCTAGTTGTGTTTGCGGGGGTTGAGCTCTGGCTCTTTGGTCCCGCCTCTCAACCGTCAATCAACAGGTGTACAGATTCCTGAGCCTACTGGGCTCTATCATATCTACGTTTAAAACTTACCAAGTTTACCGTGTTTGTTTACCAAGTGTCAGCTGGCAGGGATGGCCGCCTGATAATTGGTCTATTGACTCTGGGAGCTAATTAACTCAACTAACACTGAATATTATTTCCCCGTATGCCTATTGCACACCTGCCTCTAGCGTCTATGTACGACCTTGCTCTTGTCTTGCTGCTTGGCCCAAACAATCTCAAGACATCCGATTGATTGATTGATGAAGATTAAGCCACCCAAAAGGTGGCACGGGCATGAATAGCCCGTAAGTGGTGGCCCTTTTGAGCCATTATTAGTATCAATAGATGATACTGGAGATCTGTGGAGGTGCGACTGCACCCTGCGTGACGGGAGATCTCCCGTGTCAAGACATCCACTACACCTCCTTAAATATATTTTTAGGTTCTTGTCCCCTCTGTTTCCCCTTCCTGTTAAGTTCTGTGTAGCTCCCGCGATCAGTCCTCTTAGCTCAGTCTTATCAGTTCCGGGACTAGTCTTCCATCAAATCTTCGTGCATTCTACGAGTTCACCTTCGTTCCGACATATCTACGGCTGGACTGTTGAGCGACGGTCTCGCTTCATGCAGATCTACGTTCAGTCTCCGACCGTCCAAGTGGTTGGGCACCATTCCTTCCCTCCCGTCCCATCCCAAATCCTTATCCTGATCCCTCCTAGTGCTATATAGTCGTAATGGTTTGGCCTTTCTCCCGATAGTTGGGCACGACTCCTGTGCCAGGTAAGCCCACTACGGGCTCCCATAGCCCGTGCTACTTGCCCCGTTCCTGTGCCAGGTAAGTTACGGGGCCACCATAGCCTGTGCTACTTGGAACTTGTTCCGAGTAGCTGAATCTATAACAACAACAACATCCCGATAGTTCCCTTCCTTCACCTTCGTTGGTGAGTGCTGGCAAGTGATTGACTATGTTCTATTGGTCAGGTGGGCCGTGACGTGATGGCTGCGGCGACCAATGCGGTGGGCGGAGGAGCACAACAAGACCCCTCGCAGCTCTACGCCTCCCTCCAGCGCCTTCAGAAGGTAAACACACAAGAACCGTTCCATTAGGTAATGTCCAGAAGAAGTAACCCAATATACTGCGAACATTAATGATGAAAACGAGTGTCGTGTATAATAATTTCAAAATATATTTGGAAAGGGCGGTAAAACATTATCGTTTACAGATTAAATGTTATAATATGTACAGATCAGCATTCCATTAAAGGAGTTTTGCATGCCGGTACCCAAGTGTAGGACGTTGATAGTTGTGTGTGTGTACAGCTGCACGGGGAGCAGGCCGGGGGCGTGGAGGCTGTCTGCAGCAGGCTGGAGCGTAAGGTTGGTCTCTCCCGCCGCAAGGTGACGGGCCTCCAGCGCCAGGTTGACGCCCTGGCCGGGGAGATCGACGAACTGCAGACGCAGGTGGCCCTGGCCCAGCCGGAGGCCCAGCTGGCCAAGAGAGAGAGCAGGTGAGATAAAGGCGACGGTGGGAGGGATGGAAGAGTACGGCAGGAACAGGAGGAGGCAGGGAAGGGGGGGGGAGTATTGGGTTGGAATTGGATGGAAGGAAGGAAGGGAATGGGAGACAGAGTTGAATGAGGGATGGGTGGTGGAGGGGGGCTAGCAAGGGAGGGGTGAGAGGAAGGGAACCAGCAAGATGAGGGCGGGAGGATGCATCTATGAGAATACTGAGGCTGTACAATGGGATTGAACTCTCATTCATGTCTCTGGGGAGTCCAAGGTTGCGAATTCGATCTCATTACATTGCCTCAATATTTGTTCATACTTTGTATCTTCATATTGAGCTTACACGAATTTAGTGCCCAGTGCATCCCTTCACATGCCATGTTTACGCCTGATACCACTTTGTATCTTTTTACAACGAGCTAACCCAATTTTAAGTATCCTGTTTATCTCTTTGAATCTTAATAAATCAACTGATTAACACAAGTTAACAATCTATGCATGTTTTGACATCGAGTTAACACGCTGTTCACTATCCCTTTTTCCTATTCCTCGTCCGTGGGCAGGCTTCGGCGAGTGATGGCTTGTAGTGAGCTGAAGGCTCAGGTCCGCCGCCGCCAGTCCACCATGCTGGACCTCGAGCAAGAGCTGGACACACTCCGCCTCCGGACCTTCCCCATGCTCTGCCGCCCTCCTCAGACGCCCAGACCCTCCTCCCGCAAGTAGATGTTCATTGTGGTGCTCCGATAAGGTCAGTAGACGTCTGGCGTGGTACTGACACGCCTAGTTAAGCTCTTGGACGATCCGATAAGGCAACTAGCCATTGTTCACATTGTTCTGGGAGGCTCCGATCACAAGTAGACGCATAGTGAGGCCCAGGAGTGCTTAAGGGACGAGTGACGATGATTGAGGCGGGGACCAAAGATCCAAAGTTCAACCCCTGCAAGTACAACTAGGTGAGTAACGAAGTAAGCGGTTAGTGCTAAATCGAGCGCTAAACACAACTTAAAAACAAAAAAGCCGCACTTAAGTCAGTGAGTGAGCTTATGAGCAAACAGACTCTGTCAAAAATCCAAAGGTAAAACAAATGTTACTTTAATAAAACAAACATAAAACGTAACACCTGCAACACACCTGTCTTGCACATGTTAAATAACGACACAAAAAATGAAACATAAAGATAAACACAGATTGTAACTCGTGAATAACTCGGACTTGCGCACAACAATAATACAATAAAATAAAGTTATATTACCAGACCCACGAATCTTAATAGACTGCCTCTGGCCAGTGTCTTAAGACCAGGGGATTTTCGACCTTCACCAGACCCAATTGATCCAATATCAGTTGCTGTCTGGTGGCTACACAACCTTACGGGCTATTCATGCCCGTGCCACCTCTTGGGTGGCTTAATCTTTATGAATTCGCTACACAACCCCAGACACCATCTAGCACCCCGCGCTCCGAAATTAATATATATTACAAATAAATATAAATTTATATATATTATATAACATTATATATTATACAATATAACAATTTAAAAAAATGGAAGTATGTTAATTAACATGAGCAGTGAGCCCACAACACCCATGTCATTGTTGATTAAATTCAGAAATTAACGTAAATCTAGAGAGAATTGTCAGGGGAAAGCACCAAGCCATTACGACTATATAGCACTGGGAAGGGGTCAGGATAAGGATTTGGGATGTAACGGGACGGGGGGAGGGAAGGAATGGTGCCCAACCACTTGGACGGTTGGGGATTGAACGCCGATCTTCATGAAGCGAGACCGTTGCTCTACGGTCCACCCAAAGTAGTGGGACTAAATCTGGAGCCGAGGCATGTTTGTGGGCGAGCCACTACACACGCCACCTACAACTCGCACCAAAGTAGTAATAAACTTGAATGAACAAATCCCCAAGGGCCGTGATAAGGTTCGAACCCACGTCCAAGAGAATCCCAGACGCGCCTTAATCGACTGTGCTACGACGTTATGTAGTAATAAACCTTTTTTCCACAGACCTTCCACACATGTTATCTCTCAGAATGTTTGGTAATATGTTTATTGTTTGTGATGTGTGTCTATGTATGTATTAACACGATGTACTGAACGGGGTGAGAATAGCTTGAGCAACCTCATCCCTTTGTGTGTATTTTACATCAATAAACTTATTTCAATTTCAATTTCAATTCCACACATGACGCGGCTCATCTTATCAAGCCTTACAATACTGACCAGCGCCTCAATGTCCGATAGTCTATATACCTAGGTGGAACTTTCTCAAGCGAGGTAATACAACTGTGGACCCACACACCCGGCCACACTACAGCTCAATTCACTGTTTTGAAAACGCTGCAAGAATGAGAGTTTTGTTTTAGATTCAGTTACTGGGAACAAAAAAGTTCCAAGTAGCACGGGCTATGGTGAGCCCGTCGACAAACAGAGAATGAGAGGTTCATCTAAACGCCGATGGCTTCGTGTTCATCATATTAATCACCCATCTACCCGAAATACTTTACGTTCTGGTGGTTTGGAAGAATGTAATAAAACCATTGTCGTGTATTCTCACAACCCAATGTACCTTCTTGTATATAAATTAATTCATTAATTAATTTGGCTATAGATATAATTTACAAAATATAACTGAGTCCCCTTAAAATAACATTTTCTTTTATAAAACTAAAATTTGACATAGAAAACGAACCGTGAGAAACGAAGCAAACTTTAAAATACCTGATTTACCTGAGGGTCACTAACTCTAGTGGCCTCGACGAGGACAGGAAACCGGCGGCTTGTCGAATACAAGCTATTTTTATTTTATTCCCAGCCTCAGTTTCCTATTGTCAGTGGACAAGAAGCCTGTTAGGCTTACCTAGGCCCCCCCCCTAGGTCAGGTGGGCCTATTCCTAACGCTACAATAATAAAAAAGAGCCGAATTACGCTAGTTTGAAATCACAATTGCACAAAAATCACAATTGCGTGATGCATAAAAAAAAGGCAGGCAGCGTCTGGGATGCTCTCGGACGTAGGTTTGAATCCTCGTCACGGCCCTTGTGGATTTGTTCATGAACATCAATAAAAACCAATAATGGGCAGCTGGAAAACATGCACATATTAGGATCACATAAGAAACCAATAATAAACAGTTCGAGTTATCAGTGCAGTTTAGAGCAATGGTTTAGAATTTGTCAAAAGCCTTCTATATATATTTCTTGAGCACGATATTGCATTGTTGATGAGCTCATTAGCCTGGTGAAATTGAAATTGAAATTAAAATAAGTTTATTGAGGTAAAATACACACAAAGGGATGAGGTAGCTCAAGCTATTCTCACCCCGTTCAGTACATCGTGTTAATACAAACATTCTGAGAGATAAACATATACATTTCCACTTAGCCTGGTGAACCCGTTTGTTCCTGAAGCCTTGCTCTCCCATGTTACGGGTTTGTTCATATTTCATGAACTTCATCAGTATGTAGGCCATAATTTGTCTCTAATAATTTGTCTGATGCTTCTAAGCAGAGAAATGAGTCCTTAAGTTTGTAGTTTGTTTTGTCACGGCTTAGGAGTTAATCCGACAGGTCATTTATATGTCATGTGGAAAGTAGTCCCCAGTCCTTGACTGTATTTAATGTTTGTGTGAATTGATTATTATTCTTGTTGTTATATTCCTCACAAGTATAGTTATTATTGGAGTGTTTTGCTCTTTAAGCTTCGATCTAATTGTTCTTCAGGTCATCTAAGATAGATATGTGGTTTATCAGTTGATATTCATTGTGAAAAACTAGAGTTTTTCACTATACAATCAAGTGAAAACTAGAGTTTGTGATGGTTGCAGGTGATGATGTATCTTTAGGAGCCGTGTTCTTCCCCACAGATATAAACACAGCCACCTGGTGAATAATCTCGGTAAAAACATCCTTTCTGGCCAGGCTCTCGTAATCTTACAGCGCACGTCCCCCCCCCTCTCCCCACCTTGGAAACCCCCTCCCTCTCCCTCAGCAATCATACCCCCCCCCCCCCCCTCCCTCAGGCATCCATCATCCCCCTCCCTCAAGCATCCATCATCCCCTCTCCCTCAGGCATCCACCATCCCCCCCCTCCCTCAACCATCCACCACCCCCACCCCTCCATCAACCATCCACCACCCCCCTCAACCATCCACCACCCATCTCCCTCACTCTCCACCTCGCTCCTCACACAGCTCACCAGCCGTTTTGTGATATGGATAAAATAACTTTCTCATTTATACAAATATATTGTTAAATATGAACTTACAGTAATGTAGACCTGTGCTTCCTCGTGACATTAACAGTGCAAGTTAAATTATTTACGGTGCCAGAGGAACCCCCGCAACTTATAAATGAATTACTTGAATCAAAATTGGTTGTACATTAACTATTGATAGTGTACAAGGTTTCCTGTCTCCTCTGGAGACCCCATGCGCCGCCACTACACCACGATGACTCAAGACTAGTCCTGGGCTTTACATGCGATACCAGGTGTTGTAATACACCATCTGGCGGACACAGGGTGACCGAGTGACCCTACCATGATAGCCTTATGAACAGTGAAGTACGTCTTCCACCAGTAGCCTTTGAACTTATAATACGCATGAGATCGAGAGCATCACTAATGCACGTTAACTAACAGTTGCCCCATTGTCTGGAATCTATTATATATAGAGAGAGAATGCATGATGCATGATTGTATGTGTGTCTCTCCAAGGTTGGAGGCCAGATGTTTGGTGCTAGCCTCACCCAACTTTGTATGGTGAAGGGTCTGGGATACAGGACAGACATAGGTTGTTCGTATTCGGTACTATTGGTCCTATTAAGAGAGGTGTCGGTTTGAAAGGTGGCTGGTAGAGTCCTTGGATTTCGATGAACGAGAATTCATAATAATACTGATGACATGGCCCTGTTACAATATAACTAACCATCCTATGTAATGGGAATATTTAGCATCACGTAGCTAGCTCATGGCACACTCTGTACTCCCCTTCATATAGTCTAGGATGACTGTACATATACAGATGTACTTAAATGTGTTAATAATAATAATTTGTATTAAAAATATACAGAACATGATGTAGGATTTTATTAATTGTTACAGGGGTATGTATATTTAATAAGGCCACTAATACATATAGCGTCTTGCCCATAATTTAAAATAATTCAGTTAAATTATTTATAGGTTTGATGGCGTAAACACTTAATAATAAACGAGAAGTAATCTAACTTAGAAATTGTTCAAGAAATTTAGCCAAATAAATGCAGCTTTTAAAGAGGGTGTGATATAAAAATAATTAGGGAACAATTGATTGTCATCCGCCTTCAAAGCCCTCTATCACAGTAGTCTACATCCTCGGCTCAACGAAGAATTCCGAGTTCGAACCTCGGGCGAGGCAGAGATAGTTTAGCACGTTTTCTTTCACTTGATGCCTCTGTTCACCTAGCAGCAAAGATATTCAAGCGTTTTGCACCTGTTGTTGCAGGTGCAATTATTACTAGGTTGCATCCTAGTAATAAACCGAAACAGTTTGTTCCTCAACAATGGGAACCATGCGCGTAGTGGACGACCCAGATAGGCTGCAGGAATAGGTGGATAAGTGGCTACTAGAGTTTAATCCCACAAAATGAAAATTAATAATATTTGGGAGAAGGGATAGAAAGGACATGAGGGTTTACAAGGAAGGTATTGTCAGACCCGGGAGTGAATGCAACACCAGCCTTCACACTAGACACACACAAATTAAATTAAATTATTTTTTGTATTCAGGAAAAGGACATACATAGATGAAGAGTTACAAACATAATGTTGGATTTATAGATAGAGTTAGTACGCACAATACCTAAAGCCACTAATACGCACAGCGTTTCGGGCAAACGCCTAGCCCATCCAAGCAGAATGGGGCCCATTGCAACAGAATATTGAACATTCCAACACATATTGAAGCCCACTCCAACAGAATACTCAGCTTATATTGGCCCAGTCCAATAGTATACATCTCCAGCATGGAACCCACACCTGCTAAAGCACAGATAGAAATTAAAAGTGATAAAGATATTTGCCGCAAGACAGGTACCAGATATAAGAGAAATGCTTGATGAGGACTTGCTAAGTTAAATGAAACTATAGATATTACAATAGAGGACATGATGCGACATGATCACAACATGCACGATACTGACCAGAATAGACAAAATGAATATAAATAATCTTTTCCGGATGAAGAACAATAGTACGAGGGAACACGGGGAAATGCCAAGAAATACTGATATAAAGTGAGAGTAGTAAACAAGTGGAATGAAATTGAATCAATGGTGGTGGAAGCTGCCACCAGTCACAGCTTCAAGAGCAAGGGTGACACCATTGGAAAATTGGGATGTATAAATGCATCACCAGGTGCCATAGCTATGAGGCAGGGCTTGGGAGCTGAATCTCGCTTTCTGTAGGCGCAACTAGGCAAGAACACGCAATATTGTTCTTCATGAAAATAACAATAATATTGTTTATTATATCTCGGGTTTCTACGTCACCCCCCTCCCCACCCCCTCTGTTATTAATATTTTGGGTTTCTACGCCCCCCCCACCATCTCCCTGCATACTCCATGCATTAGTTACCGGGCGGGTGAACACCTGTGGGTCAGTGGGACAGTGCATATAAGGCGAGGCTTGAGGTGAAGGAGTCACTTGTGGAGCGACTGACTGCTGAAGCACAATTGTTACAAGCCCCAACAACTCTATACCACCACCATGCGTCTTCTCCATCTCCTGCTGAGTGTTGCCCTCGTTGCTCTTATGGCCGCCGTCCCATCCCAGGCGTCCAATGGTTACCGTCCCGCCTACCGTCCTGCCTACCGTCCTAGCTACCGTCCAGGCAAGTAAGAGGTAAGTGACATACACCGAGCCCGTTCACTCACTTCTCTTAAAGTTATAATTCACATTAGTACATCATATATATGATCAATTCACATTTGGAAAGCATTTATATTTTAACGCCGCGAAAATCAGTTATTATGTTTAGCTGTTGAACACAAAGACTGACTAGCATGAGGGTCTGTTGTCATGGCCAGCTCCGGTAGACCTATGGACGGTGGCCCAGGTCCTCTCCCGTTTGTTATGGACTTGAGGGCCAGATTCACGAAGCAGTTACGCAAGCACTTACGAACCTGTCCATCTTTCCTCAATCTTTGACGGCTTTGTTTACAATTATTAAACAGTTAATGAGCTCCGAAGCACCAGGAGGTTGTTTATAACAATAACAAGAGATGATTGGGAAGTCTTCATGCTTGTAAACTGTTTAATAAATGTAACCAAAGCCGTCAAAGATTGAGGAAAGATGTACACGTTCGTAAGTACTTGAGTAACTGCTTCATGAATCTGGTCCTTGTTCGTCAATAAGATTAACTTTGTCTACTCACACTGCGGAGATCAGAAGAAGCCTATCGACGCGTCGCTAGGCTTCGATTCATGGTTGTGCTATTTAGTCGTAATGGCTTGGCACTTCACCCTGATAATTCCCCCTTCCCCTCAGATTCATGGCTCTGACTTCCATACTCAAGTGAGACAAAGTTAAATCTCCTTCATTTGGTGGAGTATTTGTCAACCAGTTGAGTTTTTACGATAGGTTGTATATACTTAAGAAACTAGGCAAGGCAGGATATGAACAGAGTTCAAAATTCAAATTTTTACATACATAGATGAAGAGTTACAAACATAATGTTGGAATTACAGATAGAGCTAGTACATGCAATACCTAGAGCCACTAATACGCACGAGTCGTATAAGAACATAATAATGTATATCCACCCACCCACCCACTAGTACTCTCTAGGGTGTATTATTGTTGCACAATAACATCCCCCGTTTAGAGCTGGAGAAACTGCTGACCTGGAAAACGTGCGAAGATCCTTTACTGCTGGAAATTCAGCATTTTATAGAGTGGACTCTATAAAACATTACCATAGAGGACATTATAGACATTACATGTCTTACGTACCATTGAGACAACAAAAAGCTAAAGTGTTTACGCCCATGTCACCTTAGGAGAATGATAATTTAATACCAACAATGATATTTGGCGCCCTGTAGCAGATATTATTTCCAGTATTAATTACCATTAGCTTTTGTCATTTCCCAAAATGATATATACATCATATTGCCAAATTTGAAAGCGTGAAACCATGATATGATGTCGCCAATAAATTTAACTTACTTTAATGTCAGCGTAAGATATATGTATATATATTTCTGCTTTTCCGGGAAGCTTTTATATATCTATTGTTCTGTTATTGTTATAAATAATATATTTATCTTGTTTTAACAAATGTGCTTTACCAGACGTTTATTTGGTTTCCTTAGCGTGAAGTAACACTCCCGGACGGCTTCCCTTCCCTCTTGGCTGGTCCTCTACCATCACCAGCCACACCTCCGCCTCCAGCCACACCTCCATCTACAACAGGCATGCGATAATCGGTATTCACTATCTACAAATGTTGATCGCTATCATCCAGAGGTTCAAGAGCAAGTAGGCCGACGTCCACCGATATGTCAGCCGTCCGAGAAACCAAGGTGGTCAGGCGTATGGCTGCTGACCCCTGCTCACGTCTCCCGTTGATGTCCTCCTTTGACTGACTTCAGTTAACTGATCTGAACTGACCTCGCTAATTGACTTGGTTACTACTTTGTCTTCATTCCTTCTATGAGAGAGGTTCACCTGCCCATCATCATTATTTTCATGACGTTGAGAAAGGCAGGTGTACTAGGCTTGTGTAAATCTGGAGTCTTAATAATTTGAAACCTTTGAACCTCTCCGTACACATCAAAACTGTTCACATCTTTTGTGTTTTGGTCGTTAAAATTTAAATTTAGCTTAATTTTGTGTCCACATTTGAAGACCTTTGCTGTTAAGAAATAATTTAGGCAATATTTTAAATAATTTCCATAATAAATTCCACAATTTATGAGTAAATGCAAGGCGTCCTCTCCTGCACTGTCTTAAGTCCTTCTTGTGTCAATAAAGAGCATTATATCATGGAGTCATTATGTATATCATGCCTACAAAGATTTGTTTATGTGGGTCCTGTGGCTCAGTAGTGTACACCCTCGACTCACAATCGAGGAGCACAGGAATTCAATTTCTTTCTTTATTATGCACCTCATACCCATTCCGTGGGCGGTGGTGGAAAGGGTTACAGAGGCACATAATCGATTCAGGAACTGAACCCCAGAGTTCATTTAGCTAAGCAAGTGAAAATCTTTTGAAGCTAGTTACACAATTGTTAATATTACATACACATGTACATATATATGCAATTATTTACACAAATACATATACATATAAATAATCTTATATCACAAGTGATTCAATAAGAGGCTGACAAGTCACTGTCTTAGATACACGCCCCTTACTCAACCATGGGTGTACAATTTATTTATTTATTTATATACAAGAAGGTACATTGGGTTTGTGAGAATACATAGCATAGTACAGTAATTACACTCTTGTAAAGCCACTAGTACGCGCAGCGTTTCGGGCAGGTCCTTAATCTAACAGATAATTTTAAGTAGGTAAATTCTTTCAGAATTAATAGCAATAAAAGCAACCAGACGTAATAAACGTACCTGGAGTTTGGAAAGCACCTTAGCTGGTACCCACAACCAAATTTCGACTGCTGGTCTAAGCCTGCTAACAGGAGTCAGTAGTAGTCTGCTCCTGGACCCACCAGAAAGAAAAATAAAAGTGGGGAAGGGGTTGCGAGAGACATTCTCAACACATCACTAGGCTCTGGGAAGGGGATGAGCAATGAACATGATAACGTCCTTGAACACTAAAATTCCCAGAATATAGGGAAAAACAAGAGTTATTCTGTCCAGTTTTAAAATAAATTAATATTACCTTAAGCATCGTTATTTAAACTTCAGTCTAGGAATTGAAGGGACAAATGTATATTCAACAATGTAAACCTTCTTCAGGGATACTCAGCCTTGATGTAAACATGCCTATTGGAATACTCTACAATGCAGTAAACCCTTCTCCAGGAATGCTCTACCGAAAAGTAAACTTTCAACCGTAGTTACAAGTCTTAATGTAACTTCAGGACTCTTACACGGAATCAAATTTATGATGCATATTTTTATGGCTGAAGTTACTAACTTAAGAATTTTGTTAACAACTGTACCGGTCAAGATAGCTACTGTTGTGCCAGTCAAGTTAGCAACTGATGTACCGGTCAAGTTAGCAACTGCTGCCCAATAAACTCCAAAGCATTTTTTTAACAATTACGGACTCATAATTTTTGGTTTCAGTGACTTGCCCTAACTCAGGGTTTTCCCTGCCGGTCCGCCGAGCAGGCAGCACGCTGTACTTATGATCCTGTGGTCCCGGGTTCGATCCCAGGCGCCGGCGAGAAACAATGGGGCAGAGTTTCTTTCACCCTGTGGCCCTGTTACCTAGCAGTAAAATAGGTACCTGGGTGTTAGTCAGCTGTCACGGGCTGCTTCCTGGGGGTGGAGGCCTGGTCGAGGACCGGGCCGCGGGGACACTAAAAAGCCCCGAAATCATCTCAAGACAACCTCAAGAGATTTCCCTTGAGGAGAGGAGGTAAGACAGGTGCCACACAGTGGAATATTAGTGTGAATATGATGATATAAGGCAAGGGTTGGTACTATTGGTTAGCTACAATATAACTAACCATCCTATGTAATGGGGATATTTAGCATCACGTAGCTAGCTCATGGCACACTCTGTACTCCCCTTCATATAGTCTAGGATGAGAATGTACATATACAGATGTACCTAAATGTGTTAATGAAAATAACAATAACATTGTTTATTATATCTCGGGTTTCTACGTCACCCCCCAACCACCAACCCCCCCTCAGTTATTAATATTTTGGGTTTCTACGTCATCCCCTCCCTCTCCCTGCGTACTCCAGGCATTAGTTACCGGGCGGGTGAACACCTGTGGGACAGTGGGACTCATATAAGGTGAGGCTTGAGGTGAAGGAGTCACTTGTGGAGCGACTGACTGCTGAAGCACAATTGTTACAAGCCCCATCAACTCTATACCACCACCATGCGTCTTCTCTACCTCCTGCTGAGTGTTGCCCTCGTTGCTCTTATGGCCGCCGTCCCATCCCAGGCGTCCAATGTTTACCGTCCCCCCCCCTACCGTCCTGTCTACCGTCCACTTCGCCGTCCTGGCTACCGTCCAGGCAAGTAAGAGGTAAGTGACATACACCGAGCCCGTTCACTCACTTCTCTTAAAGTTATAATTCACATTAGTACATCATATATATGATCAATTCACATATGGAAAGCATTTATATTTTAACGCCGCGAAAATCAGTTATTATGTTTAGCTGTGGAACACAAAGACTGACTAGCATGAGGGTCTGTTGTCATGGCCAGCTCCGGTAGACCTATGAACGGTGGCCCAGGTCCTCTCCCGTTTGTTATGGACTTGAGGGCCAGATTCACGAAGCAGTTACGCAAGCACTTACGAACCTGTCCATCTTTCCTCAATCTTTGACGGCTTTGTTTACAATTATTAAACAGTTAATGAGCTCCGAAGCACCAGGAGGTTGTTTATAACAATAACAAGAGATGATTGGGAAGTCTTCATGCTTGTAAACTGTTTAATAAATGTAACCAAAGCCGTCAAAGATTGAGGAAAGATGTACACGTTCGTAAGTACTTGAGTAACTGCTTCATGAATCTGGTCCTTGTTCCTCAATAAGATTAACTTTGTCTACTCACACTGCGGAGATCAGAAGAAGCCTATCGACGCGTCGCTAGGCTTCGATTCATGGCTGTGCTATTTAGTCGTAATGGCTTGGCACTTCACCCTGATAATTCCCCCTTCCCCTCAGATTCATGGCTCTGACTTCCATACTCAAGTGAGACAAAGTTATATCTCCTTCATTTGGTGGAGTATTTGTCAACCAGTTGAGTTTTTACGATAGTTTGTATATACTCAAGAAACTAGGCAAGGCAGGATATGAACAGTTCAAAATTCAAATTAAAAAATTTACATACATAGATGAAGAGTTACAAACATAATGTTGGAATTACAGATAGAGCTAGTACATGCAATACCTAGAGCCACTAATACGCACGAGTCGTATAAGAACATAATAATGTATATCCACCCACCCACCCACTAGTACTCTCTAGGGTACATTATTGTTGTACAATAACATCCCCCGTTTAGAGCTGGAGAAACTGCTGACCTGGAAAACGTGCAAAGATCCTTTATTGCTGGAAATTCAGCATTTTATAGAGTGGACTCTATAAAACATTACCATAGAGGACATTATAGACATTACATGTCTTACGTACCATTGAGACAACAAAAAGCTAAAGTGTTTACGCCCATGTCACCTTAGGAGAATGATAATTTAATACCAACAATGATACTTGGCGCCCTGTAGCAGATATTATTTCCAGTACTAATTACCATTAGCTTTTGTCATTTCCCAAAATGATATATACATCATATTGCCAAATTTGAAAACGTGAAATGCATGATATGATGTCGCCAATAAATTTAACTTACTTTAATGTCAGCGTAAGATATATGTATATAAATTTCTGCTTTTCCGGGAAGCTTTTATATATCTATTGTTCTGTTAATGTTATAAATAATATATTTATCTTGTTTTAACAAATGTGCTTTACCAGACGTTTATTTGGTTTCCTTAGCGTGAAGTAACACTCCCGGACGGCTTCCCTTCCCTCTTGGCTGGTCCTCTACCATCACCAGCCACACCTCCGCCTCCAGCCACACCTCCATCTACAACAGGCATGCGATAATCGGTATTCACTATCTACAAATGTTGATCTCTATCATCCAGAGGTTCAAGAGCAAGTAGGCCGACGTCCACCGATATGTCAGCCGTCCGAGAAACCAAGGTGGTCAGGCGTATGGCTGCTGACCCCTGCTCACGTCTCCCGTTGATGTCCTCCTTTGACTGACTTCAGTTAACTGATCTGAACTGACCTCGCTGATTGACTTGGTTATTATTTTGTCTTCATTCCTTCTATGAGAGAGGTTCACCTGCCCATCATCATTATTTTCATGACGTTGAGAAAGGCAGGTGTACTAGGCTTGTGTAAATCTGGAGTCTTAATAATTTGAAACATGTTAATAATTCCTTCAGGTCACTTGTCATTCTCTGGGTTAAATTTAGCTTAATTTTGTGTCCACATTTGAAGACCTTTGCTGTAAAGAAATAATTTAGGAAATATTTTAAATAATTTCCATAATAAATTCCACAATTTATGAGTAAATGCAAGGCGTCCTCTCCTGCACTGTCCTTCTTGTGTCAATAAAGAGCATTATATCATGGAGTCATTATGTATATCATGCCTACAAAGATTTGTTTATGTGGGTCCTGTGGCTCAGTAGTGTACACCCTCGACTCACAATCGAGGAGCACAGGAATTCAATTTCTTTCTTTATTATGCACCTCATACCCATTCCGTGGGCGGTGGTGGAAAGGTTACAGAGGCACATAATCGATTCAGGAACTGAACCCCAGAGTTCATTTAGCAAGTGAAAATCTTTTGAAGCTAGTTACACAATTGTTAATATTACATACACATGTACATATATATGCAATTATTTACACAAATACATATACATATAAATAAATTGCAGTCTCCGTGGTGTAGTGGTAAGACACTCGCCTGGCGTTCCGCGAGCGCTGTCATGGGTTCGTATCCTGGCCGGGGAGGATTTACTGGGCGCAATTCCTTAACTGTAGCCTCTGTTTAACGCAACAGTAAAATGTGTACTTGGATGAAAAAACGATTCTTCGCGGCTGGGGATCGTATTCCAGGGAACATAGGATTAAGGACTTGCCCGAAACGCTACGCGTACTAGTGGCTGTACAAGAATGTAACAACTCTTGTATATATCTAAAAAAAAAAAAAAAAAAAAAAAAAATCTTATATCACAAGTGATTCAATAAGAGGCTGACAAGTCACTGTCTTAGATACACGCCCCTTACTCAACCATGGGTGTACAATTTATTTATATACATGAAGGTACATTGGGTTTGTGAGAATACATAGCATAGTACAGTAATTACACTTGTAAAGCCTCTAGTACGCGCAGCATTTCGGGCAGGTCCTTAATCTAACAGATAATTTTAAGTAGGTAAATTCTATCAGAATTAATAGCAATAAAAGCAACCAGACGTAATAAACATACCTGGAGTTTGGAAAGCACCTTAGCTGGTACCCACAACCAAATTTCGACTGCTGGTCTAAGCCTGCTAACAGGAGTCAGTAGTAGTCTGCTCCTGGACCCACCAGAAAGAAAAATAAAAGTGGGGAAGGGGTTGCGAGAGACATTCTCAACACATCACTAGGCTCTGGGAAGGGGATGAGCAATGAACATGATAACGTTCTTGAACACTAAAATTCCCAGAATATAGGGAAACAACAAGAGTTATTCTGTCCAGTTTTAAAATAAATTAATATTACCTTAAGCAACGTTATTTAAACTTCAGTCTAGGAATTGAAGTGGATAAATGTATATTCAACAATGTAAACCTTCTTCAGGGATACTCAGCCTTGATGTAAACATGCCTATTGGAATACTCTACAATGCAGTAAACCCTTCTCCAGGAATGCTCTACCGAAAAGTAAACTTTCAACCGTAGTTACAAGTCTTAATGTAACTTCAGGACTCTTGCACGGAATCAAATTTATGATGCATATTTTTATGGCTAAAGTTACTAACTTAAGAATTTTGTTAACAACTGTACCGGTCAAGATAGCAACTGTTGTGCCGGTCATGATACCAACTGCTGTACCGGTCATGATAGCAACTGCTGCACCGGTCATGATAGCAACTCCTGTTTCTGTACTGACTGTGATGTGTTATATTCTCATACTCCAAACATACAGTTCATGCCCGTTCATCGTCTTTGATCTTACATGCATATAAAACAGTTGGCTTCGTTCTCGACACACAATCGAGGGTCCTGGATTCGATTCCCAGGTGGGACAGAAATTATTCAACCCGTTTCTTTTCACCTAACAGTAAGTAGGTACCCGGGAATTAGGCAACTGTTTGGGGGGAGGGGTGCATCCTGGCGATGGTCAGCAGTTCGACCTTGGGGGAAAATGCCTAGATACAAGCCTGAAGTGTGTATATGTATATATATAAACACACAGGCTTCCTGTCCCCCGTCAACGGGAATTTATTATATAAGGCGCGGGTCGGTGTGAGCCCATTAGTAGTGGAGTGACTGACTGGAGGATCTCAGCTGCTACGACGCCCCCAACAGTTCTCCAAGACCACCATGCGTCTCCTTCACCTCCTGGCTCTTCTTCTCGTGGCTCTCATGACCGCCGTCCCGTCCCAGGCTTTCATTCCCCGCCCTGACCGTCCACTGAGGCCCTATCCAAGACCCTTTGTTGATTACGGCGATTATGGCATCTATGGCGGAAAGTAAGAGGTGAGTGGCACAGTGCCTACTGTCTTCGTCTCCGAGCACTGTAGGATTCATCTGTTCTCATTTGTGAAATGTTTTGAACAATTTTGCAATTAAGGTCCAGGGGTTATTTGTTTGAATACAAACCGGGCACAGCTATTCAACAGTCACAGTACCCGGTTAGACTTTTCTTACCCGAAACGCTGATAAATGAGCACCTATTACCGACATGCATCATAACTATGTGTAGCCTAGTCTCGCCGTATCAAAGCTGGCGTTGACGCTATTAAACTCGGGTGAACCAATCTCTTTTCTGCAGCATTAAGAAGAAAAATCAGAACACTTATTGAAATTTTAATTAAATTTTATTTTAAAGTCATAAAAACCATTAATATTTTAACTTTTACATTAACTAGAGACGTTGAATACTTCAAAAGTTGACAGTGTGCGCAGAGCTTTCGGTAATACCGTAAGTATGCCAAGACGGCCGTGTATGGCAGGAAGAGTATATTTGGTGTTAGCCTTATTGTCTATCAACCTCTAAAGGGTGTACAAGGGCACTACAATAGCTGGCGTAAGTGAGCTGTTGTAGTGTCCACAAAAACTCCGTGGTGTGGTTTTGCGAGCACTTGTGAGCGTGACCACAAAAGTGGTCACGCTCGCGTACGATAGCGTTACTGGTATTTTTTATACCAGCATTACTCTTTACTGATACAAGTATATGATGAGTGGCGCTGCCCAATAAACTCCAAGGCATTTTTTTTAACAATTACGGACTCATAATTCTTGATTTCAGTGACTTGCCCTAACTCAGGGTTTTCCCTTGAGGAGAGGAGGTAAGACAGGTGCCACACAGTGGAATATCAGTGTGAATATGATGATATAAGGCAAGGGTTGGGCTAGAGTCGTCAGTAGCGGAGTGGCTGACTGGAGGATCACAACTCTGTCCGTACAAGACCACCATGCGTCTCCTTCACCTCCTGGCTCTTGTTCTCATGGTTCTAATGGCCGCCGTCCCGTCCCAAGCTTTTTATCCCCGCCCTTACCGTCCGCCATACCTCCCAGATCCTAGACCATTCCCCAGGCCCTTGCCTGCTTTCGGGCATGAATTTCGGTGAGTGGTGTGGCCATCTTGGAAGACTGTAGGTCTATATTTTGTTCTTGTGTAGCTGTTGTGTGATATCATTCATGAACATTTTCCAAATCTTTCATAATCACTTTTATTTAACTTATTTATTTTATTCATATTTGTTATATATTTCTTGTAATTGCCGGACAATCTTGAAATAGCCTAGGAGACGCGAAATGTTAACTTCATTATTTTATCGAACTCAATCCCCCCAAAACATAGTCAGGGAAGAGTAAATAATAATTATCATAGAAAGCTGTCACCGTCTACATAGTACCGTCTTTTTGTACAGAATATTCATGAGTTTCTAGACTATGGAGACCAATACGGGAACTGAAAATGGCAAATCAATGTAAATAAAAAAAAAAAAGGTCCGATTTCATGAGGCTTTCAGTGTGGCTTTCACAGTGGAGAGCTTTAGTATCAGTTGGAAGCTCATTCAAGCATCACTTTTTAATATAGTGACAACATTCTTCAGTATTTAAGTTACATATCAATTATTATTAACATTTGTTAAACCTTGTTTATTAATATTATGGTTTGTATCATGCAAGGTCGAAATTCATCTTCCTGGCTTCGCCACCATGGTAGACGAACATATATATATATATATATATATATATATATATATATATATATATATATATATATATATATATATATATATATATATATATATATATATATATATATATATATATATATATATATATATATATATATATATATATATATATATATATATATATATATATATATATATATATATATATATATATATATATATATATATATATATATATATATATATATATATATATATATATATATATATATATATATATATATATATATATATATATATATATATATATATATATATATATATATATATATATATATATATATATATATATATATATATATATATATATATATATATATATTTGTCCAGTTAACTTTTAAAACTGCTATTGTATGTTTTCTTATATAAACCTTTTTAATCATACATTCATTTCTGTTTCCCAGACGACACTAATTCAGGCACGGCGCCCTCCCCGCTCCTGACTGATCTTCGTTGCCACCCACACCACCGCCTCAATCTTCTTCCGAAGGTCAATTTCCATGCGTCATCGACTAGTCAAGTTTCAATGCGGTCCAGCGGCAGACATTTAGAAGTCAATTTCCAACAGTATGACGTCCATTTCCACCAGCTCGAGATAGTCCTTCACTGCCAGCTCGAGGTCAACCTTTACTACCAACCACTAACTATAGACTGGCTGTCCGAGCAGCCAAGTAAGCTAAACTCCCGTTTAGGAATACCCTTGATGACATCCTTTGATGATCTGCGCTGACGTCTTCAACCATTCTGTTTCTTCACTACTTTGACAATTACCATTAAAATCCACACATGTTGTTATCATGTCCTAGTTTTGTTCCGGGCTTATTCATACAAGGGCACCATGCCGGGACTGCATGCTCAGAATAGTTTTTGTATGTTTGTATATATGTACACTCACCTAGTTGTGACAGTGGTTGTAAGACTTTTTTAAGAATTTGTTGCCACATTTGTATCACTTGCTATTTATCTAAATTTACATGAGGGCCAACACCTAGTGGCCACGACGGGGATAGAAAGCCGGAGGCTTGTCAAAGGTCCCCCCATTGTTCTTGAGGATTTTGTTCAGTTGGAGCTAAAATGGCACCTTTATAACCTTTGACTCCCTTACATGACTCAAGATATCGAGCTAGGAGGCTTGTTATCTAGCCAAGCATATCGCAACATATCATTAAGATATATTTTCCTTGTGTCTCTCCTGCGACATCTGTCCAGAGACAGACGAGAGCATCCCTGTAATCTCAATACATAAACTGTATCTTAAATAAAGTATAATCATACATATCTGTAATTTATTTACCTAATTCATATTCTGTATATATATATATATATATATATATATATATATATATATATATATATATATATATATATATATATATATATATATATATATATATATATATGACAATGTCAGACCACGGAGGAAAAATGAAACAGGAAATTTCCTTAAGTACTTTCGTATATTAAATACATCTTCAGAAGGTCACATTTCCTGTTTCATTTTTCCTCCGTGGTCTGACATTGTCACATTCTTAATCACGTGTTTATTTTCGTGATATACACATATATATATATATATATATATATATATATATATATATATATATATATATATATATATATATATATATATATATATATATGTCGTACCTAGTAGCCAGAACGCACTTCTCAGCCTACTATGCAAGGCCCAATTTGCCTAATAAGCCAAGTTTTCATGAATTAATGGTTTTTCGACTACCTAACCTACCTAACCTAACCAAACCTAACTTTTTTGGCTACCTAACCTAACCTAACCTATAAAGATAGGTTAGGTTAGGTTAGGTAGGGTTGGTTAGGTTCGGTCATATATCTACGTTAATTTTAACTCCAATAAAAAAAAATTGACCTCATACATAATGAAATGGGTAGCTTTATCATTTCATAAGAAAAAAAATTGAGAAAATATAATGATTCAGGAAAACTTGGCTTATTAGGCAAATCGGGCCTTGCATAGTAGGCTGAGAAGTGCGTTCTGGCTACTAGGTACGACATATATATATATATATATATATATATATATATATATATATATATATATATATATATATATATATATATATATATATATATAACTTGCCTAATAGGCAAGTGATTTTCGTTATTTTCAAGAACATTCTAACTGGTTTATTTGAATTAATATTATTTTATTATATTAAGAATATGAATAACTGACAATTATGTTAGTTTAGGTTTGGTTTGGTCGTATTTCTATGTTAGTTTTAACTCAAATAAAAATAATAAATAATCATATATAATAGAATAGAAAGCTTTATCATTTCATAAGATGATATACTAGGGTAGATGCATACATGCAGATATACCAAAATGTGTTAATAATAATAATAAAAAAGGTGGGTGGTAGGTAAGACTTCTGTGTCTCTAGTCAGGTGCAGGTGTGGGAGGATGTTATGAAGTGTTGATTAAGTTGAGAGGAGAGAGATACCAAATAATATACACATGGAAAATACTGGAGGGCCAGGTCCCAAATCTACACAGTAAAATAATAACATACTGGAGTGGACGATATGGAAGAAAATGCAGAATAGAACCAGTGAAGAGCAGAGGTACCATAGACACAATCAGAGAACAGTGTATAAACATCAGAGGTCCGCGGTTGTTTAACGTCCTCCCGGCGACTATAAGAAATATTGCCTGAACAACCGTGGACATCTTCAAGAGAAAACTGGACTGTTTTCTAAGAGAAGTTCCGGATCAGCCGGGCTGTGGTGGGTATGTGGGTCTGCGGGCCGCTGCAAGCAGGTGTTTGGCCTGGTGGACCAAACTCTCACAAGTCGAGCCTGGCCTCGGGCCGAGCTTGGGGAGTAGAAGAACTCCCAGAACCCCATCAACCAGGTATCAACCAGGTAAGTACGACATTTATATTCTACACTGGTAAATATAAATTATGGCTTTGTTATGGACATATATAATAACTGGGCCATAACAGGGGAGTTAAGACTTAGCTGCCTCTAGTCAGGAGAGGTGCTTCGGGTGTGTGTGTGTGGGGGGGGGCACACTTCTCTGAATAAGAGAAGTGTGCAATAGACCATTCGGCTTCCAGTAACGGGGAGGTGCTGAGGGAGGTTTAACACAAGAGAAGATTGTCACTCAGGCACAAATATCTCTTGTCACAAGGTAATTTTTTTAATCTGCCCCGAGGGGAGAGTTGTTTGGGCAGCGTCACTCATCCTGTGAGTGGACACACCGCCATAGTGACAGTATTGGGCAGCGCCACTCATCCTGTGAGTGGACACACCGCCATAGTGACAGTATTGGGCAGCGTCACTCATCCTGTGAGTGGACACACCGCTATAGTGACAGTATTGGGCAGCGCCACTCATCCTGTGAGTGGACATACCGCCATAGCAGCATGTACAACACTCCCCAATAGGAAGAAAACCCGCTGGGTTGCTCATCCTGTCACTTGTCCCCAGTCACAGGGTATATGTGTGTTTCAACTTCACGTATATAAATCCCTGCTTGTTAAAGTCGATAATAAATAATTGTCAAAACATGGCACCAAGCTGGGAAGACTATTTTGCACCGTCTGTGTTGCAGAATATTGAAAAGGTCATCAATATACGTTTTCTATGCGTTGGTCGTAGAGTAGGTTCAGGTGTTTTAGGGATGGTTTTAGTACAGCATTTTCTATCCGTTGTGGCAACTGGAGAGGCGGGGCTAGGCTGCTGACACCATAAGGTGCCAGATATAAACAGGGACTCATGGTTTGACGTCACAGTCATTGAGCAGCACTCTTAAGGCCAACACCTTCAGCTCTCTTCCCATCATGCGCCTCCTTTCTTTATTGATCCTGGTGGCCGCCCTCAGTCTATTTGAGGCCTACGCTGAGCTCCGGCACTCTCGTGAGGCTGCTAATACAAGGCCTCTTCCAGGGAAACTGTCAAAGTCACTTCCTCCCTCAGTAACACCTCTGTCATCTTCTCGACGATCCTCTGCAGGACATCTTTCTACCAACGAAAGATGGAACGGCAGTAAGGGTAGGTAAAATAGTAAAATAGCAGTAAAATAGGTACCTGGGTCTTAGTCAGCTGTCACGGGCTGCTTCCTGGGGGTAGAGGCCTGGTCGAGGACCGGGCCGCGGGGACACTAAAAAGCCCCGAAACCATCTCAAGATAAACTCAAGAAGGTATAATTTGGTGGATCATTTGATGTGAATGTAGCCTATTGTGTGAATATAGATTTTGTTTAAATATTAGCATTGCAATTACTCAAGCCAACAGCAAAAAAAATTGTCAAATTATATTCATATTTTACTTATAAATAAAATGTTAGAGGATCTGATTACGTTTACATAATAGAAACTTATATTTATTAAAAAGTCATTAATCTCTCATACATTTCGAGACGGCATAGTCAGAGTAACTCATCGTTTTCTCTATAACAGAGTCCTGCCTGACCTGTGACAAGCTCACCATCCGTCAGCGGGGTGTGTGTTGTCGGCGGTGGGGCTCCTGCTGCTAGTGGGGCTTCTGCTGGAGCTCCTGCTGGTGGTGGAGCTTCTGCTGGTGGTGGAGCTCCTGCTGGTGTTGGAGCTCCTGCTGCTGGTAGAGGGGGCTCCTGCTGCTTCTGGAGGTCCTTCTGCTGCTAGTGGGGCTTCTACTGGAGCTCCTGCTGGTGGTGGAGCTCCTGCTGCTGGTAGAGGGGGGCTCCTGCTGCTAGTGGGGCTTCTGCTGGTGGTGGAGTTCCTGCTGCCGGCGGGACTTTGCTATTGCTAGAACTCCTACTGCTAGTGACGACCCATCACCGTAAGATGTCCCAACACACCTCCCCAGCAGAGGTGTGTTGGCCAAACATTGCATGGCGCCCTCGACCATTCACTGAACCAAAAACACGCTATGAGAAAAGCTGACTTCCCTCTTGTACGCTATGACTGAAGCACAGTGGATCATGTTTCTTAGGTGTCACTCCTGTTAATTAATTTAGTCCCTAAGAAATGGTATTGATTAAAGCGTGATTACATATATTGTTTAATTTTCTTTCATGGTCATACGTTTTTACATTATTGATCACCATCTAGATTATTGTTTGTAATATTATCCTAAGCAGAAACAAAAACGCGAGAACACCGATCAACAATAAATATCCTTAATACATTAGCAATGTTAACTATCAACAGTGTTCATTAATTATCTGTTAACAGGACCCTGACAGCTGAATGGACAGCGCTTCGGATTCGTAGTCCTGAGGTTCCGGGTTCGATCCCCGGTGAAGGCGGAGACAAATGGGCAAAATGCTTCTTTCACCCTGATGCCCCTGTTCATTTAGCAGTAAATAGGTACCTGGGAGTTAGACAGCTGCTACGGGCTGCTTCCTGGGGGTGTGTAACAAAAAGGAGGCGTGGTCGAGGACCGGGCCGCGGGGACGCTAAGAGTCATACCGAGTTGAGCCTGGCCTCAGGCCGGACTCGGGGAGGAGAAGAACTCCCAGAACCCCCAGGTATTCTCCAGGTATAAACACTTAGCCAGATATTGTTCATCCGGTCAACACAAACAAGATAACCTTCTGTACTAACCCTTGACTCCTCAACTATAGACCGTCACTGTACTTGGCAGTGGTGACCCATCCAAGCACATGTGTCTAATACTTACATATACCTTAATGACCTATCTCGTTTTTGCAACTCATAGGTAGTGTTTTTTTGTTATTGTAAACGTTACAAATATAACATCTTAAGTAACGTAATCTAATATACGCCTAAGAATATTTAAAACATAGTATGGACTATGTTAAAATACACTGTTTTCGTAACAAATTACCCTGAGTACGGGTTTTAAGATCGACCAGAGAAGAAAGGGTGTATCAGTGGTAGATATCGTGTGCATTGAAGATTTCACTGCATGAAAACCATATTTATAACGAGGATTTAAGTTGTTGGTGATGGTGCAGAGATTATCTTGAGATTAGAACGTCTGCATGTCAAGGCAGACGCCAGAACGCCAGACGCCAGACGCCTTGACGGAGGAGGAGCTGTCACCAAAGACAGCCCCAGAAGTGAGTGCTGTCCATTCCCCATTATTATGGCGTCATTAACTCTACCTGTCAAAGAATGGAAAACATTTTTAGAGCTGCCGGGCGTACAAAATTTCAGTAATCCGAAATTATTCATGCCATTTCCATTTACACAAAATATAACTTAGATAATACTATTTTGTACTTAAATATTTTATATACATATCTTGGGAAGATATTTGATATACGAAGATATGAGTGACAAGAGCAGTATGATACGTTGGGTGGTGAGAGGGAAGAGGCAGGAGCAGCAACTATCAAGCCACAAGTGCCCGAGGCGGCCCCAGCGATGCACGTGTAGGGTGTTGGTGCGTGAGGCGGTGCTCTGGTCGACCCACGTGTGAGGTGTGTGTACGTACCCGAGCACGTGTGTGTGTGTGTGGCCACATTGAAGCCCCGTGCCTACGTGCTGGGTTCGTCACGGGCGTGCCAACTGGTTGTGCCAAAGCCTTGTCTGTTTGCCGAGTTGCTAAATGTAAGTTTAGTTAAATGCACTTTTCTAATGGCCCAGGTTAATGTTATTTGTCAACCGATGAAATGTATATATATTTCTCTAAATATATCTAATGTATACTGATGGAACACTGACTAGAAGCATGAATTCCAGTAGCAGGCCTCGATACATATTGAAAATCCTATATACAAGAATACTGTAACTTGTGTTAATATTTCTGGATTGTGTAAATTATACACCCGAGGGCTTGGTAATGGTGTGCACGCCCCGAGGGCTTGGTAATGGTGTGCACGCCCCGAGGGCTTGGTAATGGTGTGCACGCCCCGAGGGCTTGGTAATGGTGTGCACGCCCCGAGGGCTTGGTAATGGTGTGCACGCCCCGAGGGCTTGGTAATGGGTGTGGACCCCCCGAGGGCTTGGTAATGGTGTGGACACCCCGAGGGCTTGGTAATGGTGTGAACGCCCCTAGGGCTTGGTAATGGGTGTGGACGCCCCGAGGGCTTGGTAATGGTGTGCACGCCCCGAGGGCTTGGTAATGGGTGTGGACGCCCCGAGGGCTTGGTAATGGTGTGGATACCCCGAGGGCTTGGTAATGGTGTGGACACCCCGAGGGCTTGGTAATGGTGTGCACGCCCCGAGGGCTTGGTAATGGGTGTGGACACCCCGAGGGCTTGGTAATGGTGTGCACGCCCCGAGGGCTTGGTAATGGGTGTGGACGCCCCGAGGGCTTGGTAATGGTGTGGACACCCCGAGGGCTTGGTAATGGTGTGCACGCCCCGAGGGCTTGGTAATGGTGTGGACACCCCGAGGGCTTGGTAATGGGTGTGGACGCCCCGAGGGCTTGGTAATGGGTGTGGACGCCCCGAGGGCTTGGTAATGGGTGTGGACGCTCCGAGGGCTTGGTAATGGTGTGCACGCCCCGAGGGCTTGGTAATGGGTGTGGACGCCCCGAGGGCTTGGTAATGGTGTGCACGCCCCGAGGGCTTGGTAATGGGTGTGGACGCCCCGAGGGCTTGGTAATGGTGTGGACGCCCCGAGGGCTTGGTAATGGTGTGGACACCCCGAGGGCTTGGTAATGGGTGTGGACGCCCCGAGGGCTTGGTAATGGTGTGGACGCCCCGAGGGCTTGGTAATGGTGTGGACACCCCGAGGGCTTGGTAATGGGTGGACGCCCCGAGGGCTTGGTAATGGGTGTGGACGCCCCTAGGGCTTGGTAATGGGTGTGGACGCCCCGAGGGCTTGGTAATGGGTGTGGACGCCCCGAGGGCTTGGTAATGGGTGTGGACGCCCCGAGGGCTTGGTAATGGGTGTGGACGCCCCGAGGGCTTGGTAATGGTGTGCACGCCCAAGGCTTGGTAATGGGTGTGCACGCCCCGAGGGCTTGGTAATGGTGTGCACGCCCCGAGGCTTGGTAATGGGTGTGCACGCCCCGAGGGCTTGGTAATGGTGTGCACGCCCCGAGGCTTGGTAATGGGTGTGCACGCCCCGAGGCTTGGTAATGGGTGTGCACGCCCCTAGGGCTTGGTAATAATTTAGCGCACATGTTAGACAGCTTTATAATAATAATTATTATTTACTGCCAAGGCTGTGTATATTTTTGCCAGTTATGTGTTGCAAGTGTAGTCGGATAATTAGCGTTAGGTGATTAATTAACCTAATGAGCCTGTTCGTTCATTCAGCAGCTGGATTTTTTTCTGAAATCCGGTAATCAATCGAGCAAAATTAATTAGTTTTGGGCTGAGTGACGTCAGTTGAAAATTGGTTAGTGGTATCTGTTCTTCTCTGGGAGGGACTGAGGGGTATCCACTGGACTTGTCTACTTCACAGGGGGTGACTTGACTAGTTACCAGTGGACTTGTAATCTTGGCGGTTTCCTACATCCTATTAGTGTTGCATGATCTCGTACAACCTGGCAATATACCTATAATTTTTATACATTTTTTTACTTCGCTTGGATTACTATGGATTTTAAAAATTAAGTATTTATGCCTCCAATAATTGGGCAGAGGTTGCGGAAATATGGGCTGGGTGCTAAATTTTCAGCCTCGTTATTGTAACGTACTGGCTGCCGAAGGAAAAATCTAGGAAACACACTCATTTGCTTCATCAGCCTTTTCAGACTACTGGAGCATAAACACCTTCATTTTGTTTACAATTGTGTGTCTGTCCAGTTCTAAACAACCTCTTCTCGAATATTGCATCGTATTTTTACGTCAAAATCCCCAACGACCAAAATGATGTACTATATATCACAGTAGCTCCCGAACATTGGTTTCATGTACGTGGATCACTTGGTTAGGTTCTGTTTGGGTGTTCTAGTACACTATTTTATGTCCGTTGTGGCAGCACGAGAGGACGGGGCGGATGATTGTCACAATTCAGTGTTGAACAGCATGTCCATAGCTAGAGCAGTGGCTAGCGCAGTCGGCTCACAACAGATTGAATGCCCAAACTGATTCCCAGACAGGCAGAGACTTTATGAACGCCTCCCTACATCTAATACCTCTGGCCCCTAACAATAAACAGGGGTATGGCGTGCATCTGAGGTGACCCAGGACGCTGGTTCGATCCCCGTTATGCTCTAATGATTTCCTTGTATAACTTGTGGGTTACATTCTGGAGAAAGTCTGTAGTTCAACAGAACTCAACCGAAATAATCTCAAGATAACCTCAAGATATAGTTGGCAAGGGAGACCTCAGATAGGCTAACTGGGCATACTGATCCTGACGCTGGAGGAATTTAATGGTTCAAAATGGCCAATATGCGGTCTTTCTCTGTAATAAAAATATTCGTAGTAATCGCCAAATGAAATGGGTATTATACAAGTTGATTAATAGTTCAGCTTATTTAAGTTTCAGTACATTTTAGTTGATATAAATTCGTTTAGAAAGTAAACAGGATTATCGTTCAAATTCAGACCAGGTAAATAAGAACTCCCAATATTTCTTAAGAGGCTTAAAAAAATATTAGGGCGTGCAAAGTGGTTTTTATATAGTATATTGTTTCTTAATTGAACAGTCTTCCATGTATAGAAGTATATATTTGAAACTGTTGTGCTCTTACTGATTAAAGTCACTAAACCGTTTAGAACGAATTGGGGTAAGACGCATGATTCTAAATTTGGGTTCATAATAGGCTGTATCTACCTGTATTTGATGTATCTTCAACTTCACCTAGGAGGTTCTTTCAGCGCTGCTTTACGGTAGATTAACTCGGAGACTTGTGGTTGAAAGGAGCATCTTTCAAAGAGAAAGTATTGGGTGGTGGTAATATGGGCCCCCCTCACAGCTATCAGTGCTGGCGAGGTCAGCAGCCTCGTCTGTTACCCGTGTCAGGCTCCGCCAGAACAATGACAGTCCTGCCCACCGCAAAAATTTTAAGTTTTTAATTACTGTAGAAAAGAATGATGTATCAATGTAAAGGCTGTAAATCAACAGGTTAACTACCCTTAACTCCACCCCCCCCACCCTGTTTAGCTCAAGTTTATTATGTATGAAGTTAGAGATATGGAAAGATATGGTAGCTTAAAGTTATAGTAAGAACAATTACCTCTTGGTAATCCAGAAACATTTTCAGCGAAGGAGAAAAGTTTTGACATCGGGGAGAATGTTTGAGCGACGGTGTTAAACACTAGCATCAGTGTTCCACCACCAGTGCTCCAGTGCCATTAGCACTAGTGCCACTAGCACCAGTGCTCCAGTGCCACTATCACCAGTGCACCACAGTGCCACTATCATCAATACTCCAGTACCACTATTTTTACCAATATTCCTCAAAATTGCGGCAATACAGTATTTTACAGCCAACACCACCAATGATTAATTTAAGCCCAGATAATCGTATCCAGTTTCCATTGATCACCGACTGACCAATCCGGCACAACAAAACATCCAATTGTTTTCATAACTCAATATACAATTCTAGAACCATAACATTGGAATATTGATTATAGAAACTTTCCTGCAAATAAACTAATGCATATTGCATAGCCTAATGATCTTGGATTTAACATGTCATTACAACTTTACTAAATGTGTCATTATATTTTCCATGTTATATTTCGATTTGCTTATCTATTAATAAGTTATTTTCAGTTCCTGCCTCCTAAGAAGCAAGTAGTGTATTATTTTGAAGACTAATAATAACAGCAGCTTCCCTATTACTCTGTAGTATCTCCGAAGCTCAAACAAATGAGTGTTAGCGATAAGACCTACCATTAATGTACATGATTAACCGTAAATCATGTCCGGGTGTCGTTTATGTCTGGGAGCTTGGTGTCCAGGTGTCGTTTATGTCTGGGAGCCTGGTGTCCGGGTGTCGTTTATGTCTGGGAGCCTGGTGTACAGGTTTCGTTTATGTCTGCGAGCCTGGTGTACAGGTGTCGTTTATGTCTGGGAGCTTGGTGTACAGGTGTCGTTTATGTCTGGGAGCCTGGTGTCCGGGTGTCGTTTATGTCTGGGAGCCTGGTGTCCGGGTGTCGTTTATGTCTGGGAGCTTGGTGTACAGGTGTCGTTTATGTCTGGGAGCCTGGTGTACAGGTGTCGTTTATGTCTGGGAGCTTGGTGTCCGGGTGTCGTTTATGTCTGGGAGCCTGGTGTCCAGGTGTCGTTTATGTCTGGGAGCCTGGTGTCCAGGTGTCGTTTATGTCTGGGAGCCTGGTGTCCAGGTGTCGTTTATGTCTGGGAGCCTGGTGTCCGGGTGTCGTTTATGTCTGGGAGCCTGGTGTCCAGGTGTCGTTTATGTCTGGGAGCCTGGTGTCCAGGTGTCGTTTATGTCTGGGAGCGCCTCATTACCCGCTCTGCTACAAGATGGCTCCCTCTTGCACCTCGGGATTATTACTGTGATTCACGAAGCTGTTACAGGGGCCGGGTGGAGAGCCTGTGCCAACGGGACGGTTGCCACCTGGGGTTGTGCGTCCCTCACAAGCGCCCCAGGTGGAAATGTAGATGTTTATCTCTCGGAATGTTTGGTGATATGTTTATTGTTTGTGATGTGTTTATATGTATGTATTAACACGATG